AGGGCAGTTGGATTGCACCACCAAAAAAGTTTCCACTGTATTCCTATAATGGGAACTGACATTTGGTAATCTGCAAAAGACTCAAACTAAGGAGGATAGTTTTGGATCGCTGCCTCTTTGCAATTGTTAAAGTTGCTAAAATACTTTACATTTGCACATTTGTGCTTCAGTTGTGATTGATCATTTTAAACGTATTTATTTGGAAAACTACCAATTTCTTGAACTTTTCTTAAAGGATCAACACTCCCAAAAAGCAGGGTGGACTAGGCAGTATGCGCATTCCTCTGGTTTCTGACACAAAACGTGTAATTGCTAAGGATTATGGTGTACTAAAAGACGATGAAGGCATTTCTTACAGGTAATGTAACAATCTTCATCTGATTTGTATTCTTCAAGCAGATAACCTATTTCCCCCTTCAGATAATTTTTTTAAATTAAATTCACTAACATTGAATTGTTGGTGTGTGAACAAAGATTTTGCTGATCTTCAATAGTTCATGGTTTTAAGATATCAATGCCTATGTTTAAATGCAGTCATCATTTAGTCTGTTTTCAAGGCTACATTTACCTAGTTCAGGGGTCTGCAACCTTAAACACTCAAAGAGCCATTTGGACCCGTTTCCCACAGAAAAGAAAACACCAGGAGCCACAAAACCCTTCCCGTGCCTGACTGTTTCTTGAGCAGCCACAAAACTAGCATATGTAGTTGAATTAAACATTCTGTTTTCTTCTGAAACCTTTTCTTTTCTTGGATTTATCCATGGTTGGCCTACCGGGGGTTGAAAAGCTCAATAAATCGCGTGCCAGAGGGTGTCGCACATTGGTGGCTGTGATGCATATTTTGAGTGACGGAGAGCCACAGCAGAGGGTTGAAAGAGCCACATGCGGCTCCAGAGCCGCAGGTTGCTGACCCCTGACCTAGTTGCAATGAATCTGTACATTATCAAGTTCAGATAGGCCCTACTTAAAAGAATTCTTGCTTCCCTTTGTAGGAAGAATTAGTTATGTAAGGAATGTATGTAATGTATGTAAACAAGGAATGAAAACTAATTCCTTCGTAATATGAGGAAACTTTGCTCAGAGTTCTGTTTGTTTCAGCAGGAAAAAAAAATAAAAACTGAAAGAATGAGTTGTAGTTTTTCCTTTAAGCATGAAAGCCAGCTAGGTGATTTGAGGCCAGTCATTCTCTTGGGATTGTGTGAAAAATGGGAGGCAAGAGCATTAAATATGTACACCACCTTGAACTGATAAAAAGTAAAGGCAGAGCAAAAATCTAATAAAACATGTTCTAATGTTTTTCATAGCTGGTTGAGTTGTAGTGACATTACTGGGTTCAATATAGCCTCTTTTTCAAATTCTTTATACAATATGTGGAACTGGAATTTACTACTTTCAAACTCAGGAGGTTGTTTGCCAATTTTGATTACTTTAAAAGGGAATTAGATACATTCTCAGGGGATAAAGCTATGAATGCGTACTAATCCCCTTTTTACCGTAGTTGAGTGTGTATGTGTGTGTGTGTGTGTGTGTATATATATATATATATATATATATATATATATATATATATAAAGCTACTGACAAGTGATAATAGAGAAAAAAATGATATTCCGATAATTTTCAGGTAATATGTAATATATGTAAACTTGTCAAATGCTTGATAAATCTTAGATGTAAAGATACTTTTTGTCTTCTATTCAGTGGTTGTTCTGGCCAGTTTGGGGGAACAAACCAGAATGTCTGTGATGCCTTCAGGGTGCTTTCCAATGGCCAGGCACGGGTGGGCTAGATGGGAAGTATCAACATTGGCTCAACCCTAATAAGACTGAGTGACTGTGAATTTTAGGGTTCCTCATGTATCACCATATCTAGGATTTTTCCATCTTTCGGGATCTTTGCACATATATTGTGTGCCAGTTGTACCCTTTCCTAAATTGGGGGAAGTGCTTAATGTCACTCATGCCTTAGTCACCTCCCAAGTGACTATTCCAGTATGCTGTAAATAGCATGTTTCTAAGACCCCACCCCCCCATCAGACAACATTCTTTCACTAGGGGGACTCATCCATGCCCATCCTCTGCATTGCAGGAACTATCAGGGATAGGCAGTTCTGCAAGTACCCTCGCCGCAGGCCATGTAGGTTTTTAAAAGTGACAACCACCACCTGGAATTGCACCTGCAAGTCTACTGAGAGCAGCACAGGTTACACAACACCACTATTACCAAAGTGTATTCGAATGCACTCACTACACACACACACACTCTGTGCTACTGTATTCTGAACTAGATGTTTTCAAATGCTTTTCGTGGGCAGCCCATTCTCTGTCATTGTGCCTGCCTTTATAGAATAGCCTCACCCCAGCCCCCTAACCCCAAGATACAGATGATGCTGATTCTTTTGGCTTTTAGGAAAGCTGTGAAAGCCTGGCTTTTCCCCCCCCCCGGTGCGTAGGGACCAGGATGTAAACCAGGGGTGAAATGCTCCCGGTTCAGACCGGAATGCCCAATCCGATAGCGATGGAGGCGGGTGGTTCGGAGAACCGGTAGCAAAAATCCCTGCCCCCCCCATGCCCAGCTGAGCCGCACAATCATCAGAGGCTGTTTTTTTGTTTTGTTTTTTTAAAGCATTTTTCTACAACCTCTTCGGCTGGAAAAAATGCTTTTAAAAGTTAAAAAAAAAAAGCTTCTGATGATCCCAGCTGAGTTGCCTGGTCGGCAGAGGCATTTAAAAGAAAAAAAGCCTCTGCCGATCAGGCAACTCAGCTGGGATTGTCAGAGCCTTTTGAAAGCATTTTTTTACAACCTCTTCACCGAAGAGGTTGTAGAAAAAATGCTTTTAAAAGTAAAAAAAAAAAAAAAATGACCACGCACACCCAGTCACATTACCATCACCCCCCACCAAGCCACGCCCGCAGAACCGGTAGTAACAAATTTTAGATTTCACCACTGATGTAAACAGTTCTGGCAGGGTGGTTGATGGATGAATGAATGTCAGTTTTAGATGGTTCAATGTTTGTTATTTTAAATAGTGTTTGTATTATGATTTTAATTGGTTCTCTGCCTTCTAGGGTTGGGCAGCTATACAAGTTTGATGAATAATATTAGGCAAGGTTCATTATCTCACCTAATGTTTCTTATCTAATACTATTCAAGCTAAAGAATTCTGCAAGAAGCTCATGTTTCACATAGCACATGCAGGAATGAGTGCCTTATATTTGATATTTGCTTTGAATTGCATTCTGAAAATAAATTCAGAGAAAGTTGAATTGGTGTTTTTGCACAACCCCTAACTTTTTTAATGACCTTTTTTTCTATTTTAGGGGCCTCTTTATCATTGATGAAAAGGGGATCTTGCGCCAGATCACAATCAATGATCTGCCTGTTGGTCGTTCAGTTGATGAGACACTCAGGCTAGTTCAAGCTTTTCAGTTTACAGACAAAAATGGAGAAGGTGAGATTAGTTGTACTTTTTAAAAATGTATTGGCCTCATAACCCCCATAATTTTTAGAATTATGTAAATTACATAGATATGAATACTAGCACTTTTTCCTTACATTAAAAATAGATTGCAGCTGTCACCTGGATTGTATTTTTATGATTAAGATGTAGGCTGATAAGGTTGGGTGCGTAGATATAAGCTTTGTTTACAAAAGATTTATCCATTTGTGGTACAAGTTTTAGGCTAACTTTGATGGAGTGACTTCCAATGAAAAACAAAATCTTTAAAGGTTGAGGATAAGTTTATTCATTGTAAAAATATGTTGGAGTTTACATTCCCTAAAATCGGTGCAAAGTTTAGAAGCACAGAATGCCACAGGTAATTTGCATAATAAATGAAATAAATTTATTATCAGAATATCAGCTTACTGCTTGTTTTCCATGTCACTTGGAGAAGGCTCAACTTTTCTATTCCTCTCTCCTCTACCTTGGAGGAGGTTCTGAGTATTTTTAAGCATTAATATTTAGGGCCTATTAGAATTTGATCTTTCCCATCTCAAAATATCAGAAGCCCATGTTGCTGATTTTTAGCAGTTGTGATGAGAAGGGATTCTTGGTGTCTCAAGAATGGATCTGGTATTCCACATGTCCCAGTTTATGAAAAGTGTAGTGTATGAACTCAGGTGCTTGTGACTTATTCAGTAACATAATTAAATTCTATCATACTGAATAATGGTAAGCTATGATACTTATGATATGCAATCTCTAGTATTGCTAAAAATTGCAGTTTATGGTCAGAATAACTCTATTGGCCCAAATTAGCCTATGCAACAGGGTTTTTCCAATCAATACAATTATAATACTGTAAACTGCAATTCTTCTTTTCTGCAAGGTTGTGGGTATTGATCTAGTTATGAACATGCAACTCAGTTTTTTTTTTTAATATGACCCAATAACTTAAAATGTATTTTCTTTAGTGTGCCCAGCTGGTTGGCAACCTGGAAGTGACACTATCAAGCCAGATGTCAAGCAGAGTAAAGAGTATTTCTCCAAACAGAAATAAATGTATATTGTATTTTGTACAAAAAAAAGGTGTACTGTAACATATGACAGAGCAATCTTTGCCATTTCTTATTTAAAGAGTAGCCATGTTGTGAACTGATTGGTTTACTGCCTCATTTCATAAGTCTTTTATTTTGGATCGTGTGGATCTGAATAAGGGGATTATAGAATGACGTATTTTAACTATCTAGTCTATTAACCTTGGCCAAAGTAGAGAATTTGCTCCTGGTACTCATGCACATAGCTGACAATTGTTAGCATATTAGTGACTGTCTCTGGTAAATGTGGAACAAATGGCTTTTCTTGTATTTTGTACTGTTGTTAAACTTTTATGAAAAACTGGGAAAATGTATCAATTATTCTGAAAATAAAAACATACGAACAATCCTGATACAACATAGTAGTCCTTGCTTGTTGACTGCTGATTCAGCAACTTTGAACTTGCAATGGCATTGAAAACAAAGAGTTGCAAACAATCCTTAAAGTTGCTACTGTTGCACCCTCCCAAAGTCACATGATAATGATTCAAGAGCTTGGCAGTCAATGCACATTTGCAATTATTGGAGCATCCTGCAATCTCAACTGCCTTTTGTGCCCTTTGCAGCTTGTGTCTGACAAGCAAAGTCAATGGGAAAGCCGGCAGGAAGTTGCAAGTTGCTTGACTTCCTCACTTGATAACCACAGCTGAAAGTGATATAGGTAGGGCATGACCATGTGATGTCACAATTATTTTGCTGCTTAGCAACAAACTTGCCAATCCCTCATTGCTACTGGTGAGGATTGCCTGTATGATTCTGATATGCCCGTGATGGCAAACCTATGGCACGCGTGCCAGAAGTGGCAGCCCTCTCTGCTGGCACGTACGCCATCGCCCCAGGTCAGATCTCCGTGGCATTTCTTTCCCTGCAAATGATGAAACAAGCTCACAAAAGAAAAATAACTTATCTCTTGCCATGCTGCCGGTGTTTGGATGCCTCGCCGTCCAGCTGTTCTTCAGGTCTCTGCTGCGCATGTGCGCATGCTCTTGTGCATGCCGATGCATGCACACGTTCATGCAGGCACCCTGCATGTAGATGTTTGGGCATACCCGTGCTGCTTTTAAATTTGGGCATGTGCACACACACAGTTTGGACATTCGGTGTCTTAAAAGGTTCGCCATCACTCTGATACACCGTTTTTAGATGCAATGCTCTTCCTTGCCAGTGGAGGGGGGAACAATACTTTATTAATATGTGGATATTTGCTTACTGCCTAGACCTGTCCTTTTGTTTCTCATTCAGTCATCTATCAACCATTGTCACCTTCAAGCTAATATCATTACAAAGATTATTTTACATGCACCATTTGATTGATTTAAATTTACGTGAGTTTTCTGTATACAGGCAATACACTGACTTGTGAATTGTAGGTTGGATTATTATAGTGCATTGTATACAAATGTGTCAGATTTGTGTCCAGTGTGCTGCAAGTATGACATTGAGCCTAAAGGCCTCCTTTAATCAGTGTTACATTAGCTATTCTATCACTAGCAGTTTTTGCAACCATGTATTTTGCGCAATAATAATCTAGTGAATAGGCATTGTAACTTGGAATTCTTTAAAAAAATAATATCCTACTACCATAATTTCAGTATCTTTTCAAGTGCAGGAATACAAAAAAGATGCTGGATTATCCTGTCTTCAAAAGAACTTTGAACAAGCATGTAGAATAATACCAGAATTATTTTTAAGAAGCTGCAAATGGTTTAAAAAATGAAACTAAAGGCTATCTTGTACTTCAAAATAAAGATAACAAAGGCTAATCTTGTACTATATAGCAAGATTTTGATGTAATAGAATTAGAGCAAAGCAAACTTAACAAGGCTGGATTTATTTTGGGTGTCGATGTTACATCAGTTACTTTTTATTTGAGGTTATAACTGCCCATGTGAAGTGCAGCAGGTTGCAATTTCAGTCTAAAGCAATCAACATTTCCCTACTCTACAGTCAAAATAAATTCAGCATTGGCATGTATTTGCATTTTTAGAGTGATATGATTTCAGACCATAAAATCAAATTTTATTTCCATTATTGGAGCTTATCTGAGAACAATTCATAGAGAAGAACAGAGGAAAATAAGCTATACGTAAAGGGAGAATTCACCATTGTTATCTGTCCCTTTTAAAGTTTCCCCTAGTTTCATAAATACAGTTGAGAATTACATTTAAATAGCCCAAGTCTCTTATATCCCATTAATTCAACTACAGAGCAGTGAACTACCAGGAAAATAAACCTAGAAAAATCTGTGTGTCACTGATTCACCACTCTAGGCCATAATATGGTTTGCATAGTTCTAACACTGGGTAACCCAGCTGTTTGTGACTCAGTTACTCTAAACCATGCCTTTTGGCAATGTGGGAACCCAGCCACTTGAACCGTATTAAAAACCATGAGTAATACAGTGTGATTTAGTGTGATGTTTGAAGCCTGTTACTCATATCAGATGAAATTTTTTTGAAAGCTGTACAGATACATGATACAAGACTTGATAACTATCAAGGCAACAAAAGTTCCTGTACTAGATCAGCCTTCTATAATCTCTTTCTTTCCAAATGCAGTGGACTACAAAAATCCACAGTGGATCTGACTGCCTTAAGCAGAACAAAAGCAGCAGGTAACTTCCTTGAGCCACTCCTCCTGAGTTTGTATCTCAGTAGGAATGAAGTATTTTTGCTTACCTGATCTGACTGGCTATCACTAAGAATCTTTCTCACAAAAGATGCTACTTGTTAATCTGAGTGGAGGGGTGGGGGAGGCAGCATTGGAACAATTTTATGCTTTGTCTCAGGCAGCAAAGTGCTTTGAAAAACTTAGCAACTTGCCTACTTAGTCCAGCTGAATCCAAAGGACAAGTACAGAACTCTTAACAGGTGCTTTTTGGTTACAACAGCCATGCATCGCAGTGGTGGTATTCACTTACCTTCGCTACTGGTTTGCAAATGTGAGCATGTGCGCACGCTTCGCTTACATGCTCCACATCTGCATATGCGCAAGACCTGCGCATGCACAGAGCATCAAAAAGACATGATGTCTGGGCGGGTGGGCGGAGCCTCCTGCCATCGCCACTACCAAACTGCATAGAACCAGCTGAATACCACCACTGATGATTTATGCCAGTCAGTCAGTCAGTCAATCACACCTTATTGTGACTCGCTGATCTAGAAATACAGATCTAGAAGAAAAGTTACAATACTACAAAGTGCAATGTAGCCCGCATAATAAAAAGACTGCTTAGTCATATGTAGCCTATTGCACTTGTCTGTGAACAATGTGTGAATTCTTCAGGCTTACAAATGTGAACAACAGTTTAGCTTGGGATCTTCCTCTTTATCTGGCAGAAGAAGTTGCATGTAGAATTCTTCTGTTTGACGTGGAAATGTGCTTAGAGGAGGTATTTGTATTATGGGTTCTCTGGATTCTCTGGGGATGGGATTCTCTGGAAAAATTGCAGTACAGTAGGATACTATCCCGTGATTCAGGACTCCCATCTCTGTAGGGACAAACTCTTTTAGAATAGGTGCTTTTCCCTCTGACATTGCTGATAGTAAGATATTCAACTGCAGTGGTAGAAAGACTCCCTCGCTCCCCAAGTTTGGTATTTATAATTTGAGCCAATTGAAATGCTGATTTAAAATTAAATTTGTTATGCCCCAATTGTGCTCTTAATGACATCTTTGGCCTTTAGCCAATATCCAAGCCTGCATTGCCATCCCTTTGTTCTAAACTCTGCCTCTGAATGTACAGCAGTCTTAGGAGCCCTGCTTGAATTTCTTAGGAAGCCAGCTTGAACATTCTCCAGTTTCCGCATAGTTGAGACCTGGATTTAACTACTATACAGAGATGCTGTGAAAAGGTCTTGGCTTCAAAGCAGCTGGAATATTTGGGGTTCTTCTAGAGCAAAAGAAAGAGTGGACTGCTACTGAGCTCCTCTGAGCATTCAAAGCAACCCGAGAAATGTGAGTATGTTGTTTCCCTGAATAATGCAGCACAACTCTCAGGTACAAGGAGACGGAAGTGTTCGATTATGTGTCCTTTGAAGGTGCAGTGAAACTTTCTGAAGGCCTTGCAAACTGCATGATCTTTTTTTTCACATAGTTAATACGTAAAGAGCCTTCTCTACAGAAATGGACCAATGATTCCATGGCTCTTAATCTGATATCTACTGGCCCCTAGTCAGTTTTGAGGGTGTAAAACTCTTCCTTGCTAGTGGCATTTACTACTATATTAATGTAGTAATTTAAAAAATACTGGGGGCAAAATGCATCCTTGTTTAACTCCTTTGCGAGCTGACATAGGTAAATGAGAACAAGTAGTCCTTGATTTATGACCATAATGGATCCTGCACATTATGGTTTCAAGTTGTGACAGTTATAAAGTTTTGTGACCAATTTTGCAGTGGTTGTTAAACAAACCCATGGTTTGCTAGGGCCCGGTTTTACCAAAAATCAGAAGTAAATCCTGGTTTTCAGAAAAAATATCATAAAATGAAAGTATGTGATCATAGGAAGGTGCAAACAGTTCAGTGGTGGATTACCCCCGGTTTGGACCAGTTCTATAGAACCGGTAGTAAAACTGGTGGGAGGCTCCACCCACTGACCCTGACATAATGAGAAGCGATCTGCACATGTGCAGAAGCTTCTGTGCATGCACAGAAGCAAGGCGTGTGTGCTTGCTTCGCTCACGCACGCGCGCAATCCCATTGCAAACCAGTAGTAAAGGTAAGTAGATAAATTGAGGTCTACCTATCTATTTTTAAATGAAATGAGAGAGTATTATTCCTTAACTGAATACAAAGCAAACTCCCTGAAACCCTGTTGAAATCTCTTTTCTTCCACTAGGATGTTATTTTCTTCCAGCCAGTCTAATGGGGTTCCAATAAAGAGGTCTAGCTAGATGTTACTTATTGTATTATGTTAAACAGGCTCATTGGGCAGTACATATAGTCCTCGACTTACGACCACAATTGAGCTCAAAATTTATTTTGCTGAGAAATTTGTTAAGGGAGTTTTGCTCCATTTTACCACTTTTCCTGCCACATTTGTTAAATGAATCACTGCAGTTGTTAGTAACCCAACTGTTAAGTGAATCTGGCTTCCCCATCGACTTTGCTTGTCAGAAGGGGATTGCAAAAGGGGATTGCATGACCTTGGGACACAGCAACGGTCATAAATATGAACCAATTGCTAAGTGTCTGAATTTTGAATCACATGATCAAAATGCAAGGGGATGCTGAAAAGATCGCAACTGTGAAAAACGATTATAAGTCACTTTTTTTTGTGTAACTTTGAATGGTCACTAAATGAACTGTTGTAAATTGAGGATTACCTGTATTTCCTTGCCCTGAAAGTCTACAAGGCACTGATAACTTTCACAATGGAGAAGCCAGATTCACTTAACAATTATGTTACTAACTTAACATCATTAGACAGCAACATCATTGGGAGGCAGGGAGTCAAAAACAGCAAGAAGGTGGCTGAGACTATTGAAGCTCCAGCTTTTTTTAAAAAAACATGCATCTCTGGCACAATTTTAAAAACTGGGGGACTTCAATCATGCATTTGAAGCTGAGGTCCTGGCTGCTTTGACTATGCAGTTGATAGTGCTGGATAATAGCTGAAAAACTCTGGTTCAAAATTCTGTTCAGTCATGAAACCAACTAATCTTGAGGCAATCAGTCAGTCTAGCCAAACTCATAGGATTTTTGCGCAAATAAACCAGAGGGGAAAAACATGTATGTCACCTTATTGAGGGGGCCAGGGGACAGAGATAGTTTTTTAAAAAATTTCTTCTGAGTGAACTGCTGTTATCGAGAAAAGAAGTCAGTTAAAGGTTAAGCTTTTGCAAATATTTTCTAATCATGTTAACCACACTCAGATAATTCAGGGTCTTTGTGCAATTTGTTGTAAAGGCAAACAAGACATAAAGAGCTAAAGTGGAAGAATATCAGAAGATTTCGATAGGAACTCATGACTGGAATAATTTTTAAATTTGGTACCCGAAGCAAAAATTGATTTGGTCATATTTATTTGTGCACGTGTTTTAAATAAAAGACCTTGCTTTAATTTGTAATGCTTCTGATCCATGAAGATATTGAAAATGAAGATTTCAAATGTAATTTCAGATAGTTTATTTCCACCAGAATGCAGTATTATTTTTACTCGGTACACGATGTATCCATTTTCATTACTTTTGCCAATATGTCAAGAATAAACTTTCTTCATCAGTTCATCTCATAATGTTCTGTCACTTATTTGAGCTTCACTCCAAACCTTCTGACTACATACGGTGCAATGTATATAGAAGCAAGTAACATTTCTGTAAACCCAGTTAATTACATTTTATTCTCTTGATTCTGGCAAGAATCCAGGAACACCACATAAATCACAATCCTCAAATTAGCCATCCAGGTCCATGGATATTAATTTGCCAAATTTATTTCCATTGCCCTCACTTAGTCTGTCACCCTTCCTCAAATCCTAATTCTGATCCTCATCCCATCTTTCCATTTTAGCTAACTTACTTTTCTGAACAGTTTCAGGCTGCAGTGACTACAATATTTAGGTTACACTGCATACTTCATTGAGTGCAGAAAAGTAGGAAATGTAAAGGTGGGGAATCAAAACTGATTTCCCAGCAGCAGAAGACCAAGTGCATACAGACGTAGACATTAATCAATAGAAGAGAATATTTGTAGCTCAGGATTGAACTGTGGTGTCCTTGGTGCTCTCTGTGCTTTGAGGTTTTCTTACAGATGTTTCATTACCAAACTAGGTAACATCACATGGACTTCCAACTGCAGCCAGTGCTATCTAGGGAATTCTGGAAGCTCAAGTCCACATATCTTAAAGCTGCTGAGGTTGAGAAACATAGCCTAGAAGATAGGTGTGGCAATGAGAAATACCAATCTGCGCTTCCACAAAATAGTCTTCTGAGACACAATGTCTGAAACGTCTTAACTCTTCAATTTATGGGCTCGGTCCTTCCATTAAATCATTCACATTCAGGTTAATTATCGGTTACACCACAATGAAACAAAACCTATTATAGATTAATATGATGTTTGTCCCTCTGGAAATAATTTGGTATACTCTTACTGGGAGCAAACATGGAACCATTCCTTCCTAAGATGTGTAAATTTACTTCTTAGCTATTTTTTATATTGCTTGCTTAATTTTTTTTTTAGTGTAAGTTTTTGGGGATCCTAACAGTTGAGAGTTTATTTCCATACTGTAGCCATTTAGTGAGATTCACTTGTGTGGTGGTTAACTGAGGGGTTTTGAGAATGGAGGGATGGTTGGCCTGTGTTAATTCCCCCATGATGGGAATGGCTCTGCACTACGTGTTTGAAGTTAGGCGCTTCTTGATTTTTCTTTTCAGGCTGGCTTTTCAAAACTTCCAGGCTCTTCACTTTGTCTCTGGGAGCCTCAGTTGTCATCACAGGAGTACTTGCTGTGTTATTCACCTGTGAAATAGTAATAAGCTCTGATATATTATGAGATGGACTTAAGATGAAGCCAGATGGCACAGTTTAAGGGTGAAAGAAAATGACATACCATATATTATAATGAAGGGATCTACTTGCTGCATGTTTATATTTAGTGTGAACAAATATACTAACTGCCAAAGTGAATTAGTTTTGCAGAATACGTTACCAGTCATCTAGCTAGCAAATATAAATTATTCTTCTGGTGACTCGCTCAAGGCCATTTTCCTCATTTTAAGAAAGTGGTTTTAAAAAGTAAGATTCTTGTACCTAGGTGATAAGACTATGGATTTTACACATAATATATTTAAACAATTTGCTCAACTGTTTTATCTCTGCTTCGTAGACTATGCCCTAGTTGGCTGGATTTGCATAACAAGCTAAGACACAAAGAAACCACATTTTGATTTGGCAGAATTGAACTCGGCCATTATGGCAGAAGATACAAGTGCAGTTCCACAATACATGTCACAGGAAGGAGGGACAAGAAGTGCAAGAATACCCTGGCATTTTAATACAAATATCTACTACTTAATAGATTTCTCTCGTCCCAAAGCATTTTTGTTTTATTATATTTACTTCCTATGTTAGATAGACAAATAAAGACCAGATGTGCAGAGAGATAACCTGCAGGTTGGCATGTCCTTTAGCCTTGACCATCATTACCTGCTCTTCAACCTGATTTATAACTCCTACTCAGCCACAGTAGGTATTGACATAGCATGCTGTGCAAATCAAGTCAACTGCTTTTTTCCACCAGTCATGGTTAACCAAAGTATATCTTAACACAATGTGTGGATTCAGCCAATATGTATCAGAAACAGACCTGGATGTAAATAATTAAATCTGGGTCCTTTGTGTGTCTTTGACTCTAAAGTTATTCTTTCAGATCCTTCAGCTCCGTCCCTCCTATTACAGTTAAAGATACAATTGAAATACTCCAAATACTTGCTTGTTCTCGTATACTGCAAAGGAAAATATGAAACATGCCTTCCCTTTTACTGTATTTCTTTCATCCTCATTGTATAAAGTGTGCAATCAGAAAACTTGGAGAATTCTTACCCTGTTTCCCCCAAAATAAGACATCCCCTGATAATAAACCCAATTGGGCTTTTGAGCGCATGCCAATAAGGCCAAGCGCTTATTTCAGGGTTCAAAAAAATATAAGACAGGGTCTTATTTTTGGGAAAACATGGTAAGTATCAAAAAATAAGCTGAGCAAATAAGAAATGTCCTGCTTAAAAGGGAGAACTGCAGAGAGAGAGAAGACTTAAACTCTTACCTCCTGGCTGCTGTTCAGATAATACCAGGAACAATGGCCACAATAATCTTTGCCGGATGTGTAGCGCACAGCTGCCTCAACATATGGTAAGTGCAGAAAACTGTATGGCAACTGGATGTGGAAAGTGAGCTTCCTGCACCTGCAGAGCCCAGATGCCATGGAAGAAAAGTGCAAGAGGTTTATTTCAGAACACATGAGGGTCCATCCATGCATGAGCAGAATATAATTTGGCTGAGCTGACATTTTTATCAATGACAGAATGAGAAGAAAAGGTCCCTCTCCAAAGTCAAGGAACATGCCTCTTGCCTGCTTCCCTCTACTGTACATGCTCTATAGACAGTTGTTTTGCTTTTAAGTTTTAGCCTAGTCAGTTCCTTTCAGCCCCCACTGTAGAATATGTAGGAGATGACCAGACTGAGCCTAAGGGAGGGGCCAAAAACAGCATTAGTCTTGAGTCTCTGCATGCCTCCAGGAAATCTAAGTCCAGCCCACCTTTTGAATGCCTTTTTATCTCCCGCATATTCCTCTTGACCGTTAGTTGGTCAAACTCTTGTAGAGAGCTTAAGGTTGGATTTAATCTTTATACTCATTTGAATTGCCTGAATCTCCTGGGCTTGAGAGAATCCAAGAGTGTTATAATCATGTTGTATCTGCAAATCCACTTGAATGGATTCTTCCCTGTATCAAGTACCACCAACCTGTCATATACCAGAAAGTCATCCTTGTTGCCCTGTAGAATTTGCCAGACATCAGGTTCCAGGATTTGTTGCTGGTAAACTGGAATGCCTTTGGGAGCATGTCGTTTGAGCTCCCAATACATTGCCCTGGAGGAAGGGGTTTTTTCATTCACAATCATGAAACTGACATTGGCGACACCATCACCAGACAATTTCTCTCGCAAGCTGCCAAGGCTGGTTGTAAAAAGAACAATAAATAACATTTAGGAAATGACATGCACAGATGTAATTCCCAGCTCCCCTCCCTCCATCACTGATAGTGGAAATTCAGATGTGTTGGACTGCAACTCTCATCGTTGGTTAGGAGTGTTGATATCCAAGACATCTTGAGGCATTTAAAGGTAAAGGTAAAGGCTCCCCTCGCACATATGTGCTAGTTGTTCCTGACTCTAGGGAGCAGTGCTCATCTCTGTTTCAAAGCCGAAGAGCCAGCGCTGTCTGAAGATGTCTCCATGGCCATGTAGCTGGCATAACTAAACACCAAAGGCACACAGAACGCTGTTACCTTCCCACCCAAGGTGGTCCCTATTTTTCTACTTGCATTTTTTACGTGCTTTCGAACTACTAGGTTGGCAGAAGCTGGGACAAGTAACGGGAGCTCATCCCGTTACGTGGCACTAGGGATTCGAACTGTTGAACTGCCAAACTTTTGATTGACAAGCTCAGTGTCTTAGCCACTGAGCCACCGCATCCATTGAGGCATTAGGAGGGATAAATTAGGAAGGATGCCTTTATAATTTGGGATAAAATCTGTAGAGCAAGAGACACCACTTTATTTTATGTCTCATTAAATGGCCTGTTATTACAGCTGAAAGTTTTTAGAGATATCTGAATGCACATTTTGCAGTATTGAAATTCATGAATTAAACTATGGCTATTTGTTTTTGTATATCACATCTTGCATATTACAGTCATGGGTTCATTTTATATTTTGCTGAACAGGAATTGATGGAGAATCAGTCTTTTCAACAGTTTAATTAATGCTGAATTCATTTCAGTATTTTCTGCAGAAACGTCATTGCCCAAGATGAAGATGTGGTTTCTGTTTAGGCACTTTATAGCTCTTGAAGCAAACAACCTTGCTCTATGGGCTGAACTCACCTGGCTGCTTGCTTGAGACAGAACTGTCAGCTGGCCTTCAAAAGGACTACCACTGTCACCTGGCCCTCCATTCCAGCCATTGGGTCTATGCCATTTATCTTCCAGAGTGGGGCCGGTTGGCATATTCTGGTTTGGTTCTCAACCACAACCCCTTCTGCTACTGTAGCAGCAATCACCAGTCCCAGCAGCAAGGCTTTTGTGGTCAGGGACAAGTAGCCCATCCTGACTACTTCCCTTTAGCCTACAAGAAAAGACAGCATATTTAAGGATCTTTTGCAGAAAAACCACTTTCCATAGTCTATTTTGCATCACAGAAAATAAGCAATGCTATCCCATTATGCAGTGGAGTTGGTCTTTAATAATATATTGAGGGTTGCAGCCTGCATGTTTGAGGGAAAGATTCCAACAGACCTTCTATCTCATCTACTATAGCTTTTATCACTTCAGAGTTACCTCAAGCCAGCTCTCTGTTCATGAAACCACTGATGCACTGAATGTTTTGCAAATCCTTAGTACATCCGTATCAACTCATCGTGATATTCCCTTTTGGGCACAGTGCAGAATAAGAATAAGAAACAGTTTTCAAAAGAAATTAAAGACATGAGATAAAACAAAAGAAAATGAAATGTAACTATATCTAATTTATCTACTACACCTACTACGCCTATGGGAGAAAGGGAAAGAGAGAGGGAGAGGAATGCTAAAAGAATGGGAATACAAAGGTGAGAAATGAACTCAATTGGTCATACCAAAAAAAAAGAGGTTTCAAAAAATACGGAGGAAAATTACATGGGTTGAGGGGAAGGGAAAGAAAATGGTGGTTGGATGTAGTTGATAAGATCAGCAAATGCCTTCTCTGCAGCTTTTTTCATTCATTTCCCATTAACATGCTGACAAGTAAAATTCTGGTCTGCCAAAAAGCAGTGCTGCACTTCCCAAATTTTTATCATTTTCACTTGTATCCTTTCAATCAAAGCTGAGCTCCCTCATTTGTCCCTTTTAAATAAATAAATAAATAAATAAATAAATAAATAAATAAATAAATAAACTTTATTGTCATTGTATGTGTGTACACAGTATACACATACAACGAAATTCACTTAACACCCAAAGACCAAGTCCAACACACATAATCCCCAAACACACTCCCACCCACCACAATTCCCCACCCCTAAATCACCCAAACATCCACACAACAGACCAAGTAATACTGTCCAACAGCTCACTGATGGTGGCCCTTTAGTTCATTGTTGAGTGCAATTATAGCTCTGGGATAAAAACTATTCAGAAAACGTGTGGTCCAAGTTTTAATTGTTCTGTATCTTCTGCCAGAAGGCAACAGTCCAAAAAGATTAGCAGTTAAGTTTAGAAGATACATTTCTATTGAGTGAAATGGATGTTCAGAATTCCAAGAAATAATTCTGGGGCTCTAAGCAATCGACTTGGGTCCCACATATTTAGCTTAATAGAAGTCCTGATTTCATGAAAAAAAATAAATTAGGATACATCACAAATAACAGAAGCACAACCACAGAGTGCAAATAAAAAACCCAATATTTATTTAGATGTTCTGTCCGTAGAGAGAACCAGAGTAAATCCTCTTACTTTGGACAAATTAAACAATTTTCTTTGCCAATAGTCTTCTACTACTATCAGCCAGACATAATGTCCGGAGCATTAACTGCAGCTCTATTACAAACAGCAATGTTGACATACCCAGTAACCATTTACAGTGTTTTCCTTCCCCCACCTACCTGACACTATACAACCTGTCTGCAATACCCACCATTGGCCTAACATTCCTCATCCCTTCAAACATGCTCTTTTCTCTCTTCCTGCATTCAAGAAAATAATCTTGAGAAGGGCAGGATGCCATGCTGAGAAAATACATATGAAAAAACTTATTATATCTTCCTGATGCAGGATTCAAAATCTGTCACACTGTTAAACATTGAGGTCATCTGATGGAAATCCCAAAAGTGCTTTACAAAAAGCAACTGGACTTTCTTAGGCTTTTTTTTCCCCTTTTGAAAAAGTTTTGTTTCTCATCCATGAAGCCAAAAAACTAACAAAGCCCAGTTGCCTTTTGAAAAGCATCTTTGGGACAACCATAACCTGGATGATTGAGAATCTCTGTAGATCAGAGGTCTTCCAACTTGGCAGCTTTAAGACTTGTGTACTGGAGTTGAAGTCCACAAGTCTTAAAGCTGCCAAGTTAGAAGACCTCTGCTGTAGGTAGTCTAATGGAAAGTGATGTCGTATCAAAGTTGTGCCCTTTAGGAGCAAGTCAAGTTGGTGACTAGGACACAATTATGCTTTTTTACTTCTTCATTTAGGTCCTCCTATCTACCCCATATTCATAGTGGTAATCTTTCTCAGTGAATCAATAGAAAATCCTTAATCATCTGCAGAAATTAAATTCCATATATAGAATTCCAAACAAGGTCATACGCTACCTTTTCCCTGGTGAATCTTGCCGCTGTTCTGCTGCGTCTACTGAAAAACCTGGGACTCTCCTGATGTTTGCTCTGATGGGTCTAACCTCCCAACTCTGCACTGACCCCTGGTGTAGGTTAATTTTCATTCCAGATCTCTCCACCCAGAAGGGGTTGGGAGAAAGGAAATATCTGGGGAAGAGCCAACTACAGGCGTGTCCCTGGAGATATTCATAGGGTTAGGCTTTGTACTTACCACTGCCTGCCTCCCAGCTGTACTTGTTTTTTCTCTCAGACTCATCACATACTGAAGTGAAAGAAATACTGTGCAGCACCAGGCAGTGTATGTAAGAAAATATAGCTTTGAAGGAGGGCAGCAACTACTTCCTAATATTTTCCAATATATGAAGAAAAATGCTAAGACATGTTAACCAGCCTCACTATGAAGCAAAGGAGGCACCTGTTATAAATGTTTCAGAAAAGGCAACTTGTCTAGCAAAACATTGTCATGTGGACATTTTATTCCAGGTGCAATTATAAAAATATATCTGCCTGATGAAAAAAGAAATCTGTAGGGCAGGAAAACTTATTTTATATTATTAAATTTATTGGCCACCCATCTTACCACAGGGTAACTCTAAAATGAATCAATAAAAAATACCCTTTCCTTTGCATTCCAAGTTCTTGTTTCCTCTGAAACATTTGGAAAGGCAGATGGAATACTGAATAATTCTAAAATCCTGTAATTGCAGGGTATAATTCCATCTATTTCTAATAATGAAGGAATAGTGTAGTTCCTTTGGAGCCAAAACAGCATCACCTAGGCATAAAGAAATTATGCTTCCCTGTGAAGATCAAGCTGGTTTCCTGTTTGTTAGGTTTTTACAAGTTCTAAAGACTCAGCTTCCTTGGAGAGACTTTTCCCAATTTGAGGAGTTGCCATCTTTTATCTTCTTCCTATTCTTGTACTAGTGATGTAATTTTATTTTGGTTTCTGATAAGTGAGATTACATCAGCATACAGATATATCTAATAAATAAAATCAATTTGCTAAGTCCCAAAGCAGCAGAGCCTATTGTCTTCATACCAGGCTTCAGACCATGCTTCAGTTTTTCAGAAACATCCAATCTGACCAAATCTGGAAAACGGATATTGAATATTTGCTTGTGCTATCTAAACTGGTACGTTTACTACTCATTTTCATTGTTAATTGAAGTGACTCTATACTAGGCACCATCCTACACTGAAAAGTCATTTCTTAATACTCCGAGTGCTGCTTGATTCTAAAATATACTAAAGCTAGAGTTCCTGAAATACTCAAAGATTTGTTTTGTTTTGGCAAACTATGTGAACTCAGCTACTGAGTTCAATAATCAATGCTTTATGGTTTAGTGCAGTGTGTGATTCCAGTCCAAAGATGGCTAGTTGGTACAGAGAATCATGCTGACTTGGCCTTGAAAGTCAATTATTTTATTTTAGGGTACTATTCAACTGAAGAACAGTAACATACAAATCAAATAAAGTGAATATTGGTTGTGGTTTGCATGACATGCTCCACATGCTACTGCATGCACAACACCATTAACCTGCTCCATGTATAGATCTTTAATATACCTGTTTAAATCCCAGAGTATGTCATTCTAAATTATTTTAACATAATTGAAATAATTTATAGTGCTAGAGGAATATTATTATGTGAATACAGCCATTGAGGAAGCCATTACGGTCATTTTATTGGGGCTCTTAGATACTAACTTCTATAACCCATCCCAGCTTCAGTCAATTGACACTTTTAAATAAATAAAGTCCTTACCACCAGTAATTGGGATTGGGAAGTCCATCAATAAACGACACGGATTAAGGAGCAATGCCATTGGACCATGTCAATTTATGATGGCAGTTCTGGCAGTCCCAGTTGTGATCCTTAGGCAAATCCTGTGCAGTTGGCAATGTCCTGTGGTCCCATGATTGCCATTTGCAACCTCCTGATGGCTTCCCCATTGATTTTGGTTGTTGAAAATTCAACTTTGGGAACAACTATAATCACAGCTCAGCTTTTCCCCAAATGTGCTCACTCAGTTCAGTGCATGCTAGGGTCTCTCATCTGCAGATGAAATACTCATTGCCAGCATCCTATTATCTAGAAAGTGTTTGCTGTAAAACGAGTCAAAAAGATCAAGAGTCAAAAGCAATAATGAGTGAAATGTATTAAGCAACAACAGATCCAAAAGTGCCTTTAAAAATAAATGCTTAAAGGAGATTAGGGGGTCAGAATTATGTTACCACCAAGTCTCATAATCCAGAGATTTATGAAAGAAAGCAGTGGCATCTGCTCTTAAAGGAACAACAGGCTCATATATTTATTTGTGAAGTAATAGTGCTAATGCCTCAAAACACATTCAGTGATTTTTCTTATCACTGAAAATAAATGGTACCTATACTTTAAAATATTATACTTTAGGACTAGGATGTGAAGCCACTAAGAGCATTTCTGACCTTCCCTTTATCTATGCATTTCAAAAATACAACCAGATATCTGATTTTTATTTTTTTCCTGCTTCTGCCTTGCTCTAGCAAGTTTACCAGTAGAATATTTTGAGATTAAAGTTACAGATAGCCCTCAATTTATAATCACAATTGGAACCAGAATTTCCATTGCTAAGCAAGGCAATTGGTTAAGTGAATCATGCCCAATTGTTTGACTTTTTTCTATGGTTGGTAAGTGATTCACTGCAATTATTAATTGAATCATGGGATTATTAATCGAATTCAGTTTCCCTCATTAACTGCTTGTCAGAAGCTGAGAAGATCGCAAATGACAATCTATAGCGCTAGAACACTGCAATTGTCTAAATAAATACCTGTTGCCAAGCACTCTAATTTTGATCACATGACTGTGGGGAGCTTGTGACTGTTGTGTGAGGCGTGGTCATAAGTCTTTTTTTCAATGCTGCTGTAACTTTGAACAGTGAATGGTTGGAAATCCAGAACTACCTGTGTTAGGATTCATAATAAGAGCCGCAGTGGTGCTGTGGTTAGAATGCAGTTCTGCAGGCTACTTCTACTGACTGCTGGCTGCCTGCAGTTCGAGTCTCACTGGCTCAAAGTTGACTCAGCCTTCCATCTTTCCGAGATCGGTAAAACAAAGACCCAGATTGTTGGGGGCAATATGCTGACTCTGTAAACCGCTTAGAGAGGGCTGTAAAGAACTATGAAGCGGTATATATATCTATGTGCTATTGTTATTGCTATGGTTCAGCTGCAGATCATGAGAATGACCACTAGATGGTAACAGAGTACCAAAATCTCTCTTTGCTGCCATCTAGTAACTGTGGGCTATCAGGCAGTCCTCAACATTCATTTTATTTTTTTATTTATTTTATTTTTATTTGATTTATATGCCGCCCTTCTCCGGAGACTCAGGGTGGCTTACAATGCATTAAGCAATAGCCTTCATACTTTTGTATATTTATACAAAGTCAATTTATTGACCCCACAAACTGGGTCCTCAATTTACCCACCTTAGAAAGGATGGAAGGCTGAGTCGACCTTGAGCCTGGTGAGAATTGAACTCGCAGTAATTGCAGGCAGCTGGATGTTAAATGCTGCCTTAGGAGGCATTAGGAGGCATTAGCCTCCTACGCCACTCAGCTTCATCATTCTCTTCCTTGCCCGAGGTTTAAACCAGGGATGAAATTCAGCAGGTTCTGACAGGTTCTGGAGAACTGGTAGCAGAAATTTTGAGTAGTTCGGAGAACCGGCAAATACCACCTCTGGCTGGCCCCAGAGTGGGGTGGGAATGGAGATTTTGCAATATCCTTCTGTTACATATAACTGCCTAATGTTGCTTCCCAGTGGCAGAGTAAGGGTTAACCCCATCCATCCCCTAGACCTCCCCCTGATCCCTCCTTACCTTGGTCCCGCCTCCCAGGTATATAAGGTATGGTCCAGGGATCCAGATCCACTTCCAGATGTTTACCTGTAACAGAAACATCTGATTAATAAAGAAACTTTGATTCAACTGCATTTTGTGTTGGAGTCATTGGGTAAGATCCTTGGAAACACGTAACACCTTCCCCCAGGAGTGGGGAAGGAATGGGGATTTTGCAGTATCCTTCCCCTGGAGTGGGGTGGGAATGGAGATTTTGCAGTATCCTTCCCCTGGAGTGGGGTGGGAATGGGGATTTTGCAGTATCCTTCCCCTGGAGTGGGGTGGGAATGGAGATTTTGCAGTATCCTTCCCCTGGAGTGGGGTGGGAATGGGGATTTTGCGGTATCCTTCCCCTGCCACGCCCACCAAGCCACGCCCACAGAACCGGTAATAAAAAAAATTGAATTCCCCCACTGGTTTAAACCCTGGAGGAATACAGACACCTGTATTCTTTTAAAATTAATTTTCAAGTTTAAAAAGTACAAGCCAGTCTCTTCCAAGAGAGAGGAGCCGCATGCCTTGCCTCACGTAGCGCCTCATGTTTTCTTTCTGTTTTCTAATTGAAATCTGAAAAGGAGAGGCGGAAGCTTAACGGCAAGGCTCCAGGGTAGCCCTGGATTCTCCAAATCCTGTCAAATGCAGTGCAACTGCCTTTAGGCGCGATCCCATCCTCGGGACATCTTCCGCTTCCGTCCGTGCTGAGGAGCTGCTACTTTTAAGGGTAAGGTCGTGGAAAAGTTGGTGTTTTGCCGTGTTTTCCCCCCGCCGTTATAAATTCATTCCCGGCTGGAAGGAGACAGAATAATAAATACGACTGGAGAAATAAGGAGTTCAAATCAGGTGAGAGGCGAGGGAGTGGATGCATGCAGGGAGTCTCTGCCGGGCAGCAGCAGATGGAATCAGCACGCGGCAGGGCGCCCGATGGGGAAGCGGCAGGAAAAGAGGAAATAATTACGCTGCCGTGTAAAAAGAGTACGAGTAAAAAAAAAGAAAAAAAGAAAGAAATCCTTGTTTTTTCGAGTGAGAATGAGGAGTTGGGAGTGGAATGGTTTGGATAACCATTTAGATTTATTGCAAAGGGGGGGGACCCTCTCTTTTTTTGCAACTTGTTCTCTTGAGAAAACCTGATTTATTTTTAAAGATAAAGGGGCAGGTATGGGAAGTATTTTAAAATGCAACACGTTTTAATCTTTCATCTCTTCTACCGATCTTTCTAAACAACTTGAAAGGCAACATGCTTGTCGAGAAAACTCTTCTAGTAGGGAGGAAGGAAGGGAAGGGAAATTAGAGTAGGAGAGAAGGTAAGACAGGGGGGAAGAGAGGAGGAGAAGGAGAAGGGAAGGGGAAGTAGAGAAGAGAAGAAGAGGATGGGGAAAGAAAGTAGGAAGGGATAGGGAAGAGGGTAGGTTTGAGGAGAAAGATTGCTGTACAATGAAAAAGACGAAGTGAAAGAAAGGCAACCCCGAACAAACAAATATAAATACATTAAGATAAAGAATGAATTGTTTAAGAATAAAAGAGAATAAATATGAATAAACAGTAAAGTTAGAATCTAGGGGCAAACGAAGATGGTGTTTATGTATGCAAGTATAGAAATATTGAGATATGATAAAAAAAGAAAAAAGGGGGGAAGACGATTTTGGCAAGAATTGTAATTGAGTAAAATGTATTCGAATTTGATTAATTGTAAAAGATAAGAAACGACCAACGTTCTGTTCAAAAAAAAAAAGATGTGGGTGAATGTGGGAGAGGAGAAAAAACCAATAAAACTTGTTTTTTTTTTTTTTAAAAAGAGAAAACTCTTCTTTTTAAAGCAGCAGTTTGTATATATATCTTACTTGTAAGTAAGCCCAGAACTTGTTTTCCTCAAACAGTCAAAGAAATGGTAACTCTAAAGCAGGGGTGAAATTCAGCAGGTTCTGACAGGTTCTGGTAGCGGAAATTTTGAGTAGTTTGGAGAACCAGCAAATACCACCTCTGGCTGGCCCCAGAGTGGGGTGGGAGTGGAGATTTTGCAATATCTTTCCCCCAGGAGTGGGGAGGGAATGGGGATTTTGCAGTATCCTTCCCCTGCCATGCCCACCAAGCCACACCCACAAAACCGGTAGAAAAAAAAATTGGATTTCAACACTGTTCTAAAGGAAGTAATATGACCAAATAAAAGTAATATTTAAAATGACAATTTTATTGCACTGTGATAGGACAGAGCCACGCATCACTGCCCACTTCATGGAGAGCTGCTTGAAGATGACTGTGATATTCTTCACTATCACCACAAGCCCTCACTAAAGTCTACTTTTTGGTTCATGGTGTATCTGAAGAAAGTGTAACTGTAGGAGAGGAAGCTTCAAGCCAAGAAGGTAGCTGTGAAAGATCAGTGTCTCAATGAGTCTAAAAGGTCAGGAGGTGACATGATGTGAGGAATTTCCAAACCAACCATCTGGCCCACAAACTCAACAGTTTCAGCATTTCAGTCTGAAGGATTATATTTAGTACCATTTCAGATATATGCATCTGAACAAGAAATCAATTGGCTCAGCCACAGAATAATAATGAGGGCATTGGGATCACATAGCTCTGAGCTGCATAAAAGGATCCTGTAGGATGTGAATCTATAGTTCAGAGTCAGAGAAGCTTCCGATATTTATTTTAAGATATTATAGCATGAGATCATGTCTGACTGTTTCTGGATGGGTGCAATGGCGTCCTATGGAAAAAAACCCAGTTTTTGATCAATAAAATGGTTCCAATAGAGATAAATATATTCACTTATATACAGGGCCGGATTTTCCTATAGGCTAACTAGGCTTCAGCCTAGGGCCTCAAGATCAAGAGGGGCCTACATTCAAATTGTTAGCAAAATTAAAATTACACTTTCACTATAGGTGAAAGGGCCTCATAAGTGGAATAGCCTAGGGCCTCTTTTCATCTAAATCCGGCCCTGCTTATATACAATGTGAAGTAAAGTTGAAAGATGGCTCAAAATAGTAGCGGAGAAGTGAAATGAACCTAACAAATAAAATGGACGTTACATTCTTTTCTTCCCTGTCTTTTAGAAGAGACCAGGCCAAACCGGTTTCATCCATTTGCCTAATTCCATAGAATCCTCCTCACCAGCTGGCAGCACAGTCCAAGGACAGCCTTAGCAAAAAAATTTGCAAAATTGCAATTTTTCATCTTCTATCAGTTGACGACCTGAATATTCCCTCTTCCTATGCCTTATAATAGAACTAATCCTAGTTATACTGATAAGGACCTAGGATTTCCTGTCTTGCAGCCCCCAACTTGTATAAAAATTTTTTGCTTTCTTATTGTTCAAAGTCCCTCTTTCTTGTAAAGCCGGCATCCATGATTGGTTATGTTCCTTCTTGACGGGATCCATGGCAAAGTGTAATTTTTTTTTTGTAAAAGGTTTTTTTTTTTTACACAAACAATGCGTTTTCTCTGAACAGAGTATTGGAAATTTATACAATTTTTGGCTGTCTCCAACACAATTTATATATTCCACTTTTTGCCATAATAATCTTTCTCTAATTTTTATTTTCTTTTCCTTGTTTCTTCTAATAACCAATATTACCATTCGCCCTAATATCTAATCTTAATCAAATTTAATTATTTTCCTTACTGTCTCCAAGTTAAAACCCTTAAATTTGAAATTCTTTTCACAACATAATATAATTGGCAAAGTGTACTTAAACTTTACATAATAATATCCATGTTTCTCATATTGTCATATATAAAACTGCACCATATCATAGTATATGAATTTCTTTGGCTGCTTGGGGGTGGGACTGAGTGGTGTAAATGTCCACCCAGCAGGAGCCAAGACACTTTGTTCATAGCTGCTGTGATAGTTTTGCTGTTTCTATGTTTCACCAATTTTGTATTCTGTTATCTGTGAATGTCCTGTTCCTCTCCTTTTCTGAGAGGAATATTCTGGGATAGGACGACAAAGTGAGCAAAAGGAATTTAAGACATAAGTTTTCTTTATTGTGTTTGAAAACAGAATGTGGCTGCATCTTAAAGAATTGAAAGTGAATTGCTGGTTTTGGCAGGACAGAATGCCTGGACAAGTTCTTGCAGTTTTCTTGGCCTGCTTCTAGGGCTGAGAGAGTAGGATTGGCCCAAGGTTAATCAGCTGGCTGTGTGCCTAAGGTGGGACCAGAACTCGTGTCTCTTTGTTTCTAGGCTTTGTTTCTACACCAAACTGTCTCTCCCTATGAAATATGGGGGCCTTTTATTTGTGCAATAGATCAGGGCCCAGTTTCGATTAAATTCTGGTCTGGTAAATTCTGCCACTCCTACCTTAAGATATTGATCTGGACTTTTTCCTTTTTGTTTTGTAGATTTAATAGCAAAAGGAGTCATTGCAACTAATCAACCACAAATTTCATAATGTCTGCTGTTCTGAAGCGGTTGTGTTACATTGGATTCCATGTTCTTCAGGGCCAACAGTTGGCCAGTCACCTGATGCAAAGGTTTGGCTTTGAGCTGTTTGCTATACGGGAAACAGAGAGGAAGAGGCAGCAGGCTTTCCGAAGAGGAGATGCTATTTTTGTTGTCAATGAAGAGCGGGAGCTGACTGAGAAAAAGTTTTCATCTTCAGATTTACCTTCAGACTGCTATAAGCATAAAAGGATCCTGTATGATGTGAACTTGCAGTACAGAGTCAGTACAGCTTCCAATATTTGCTTTGAGGTAGAGGATGTCCCTGGAATCTCCCGTAATCTACAAGAGAAAGGCTGCAAGATCCTTATTCCTCCCACCACGGAAGCAGATGAAAATGGCTTTGTTACTTACTCTGTAGTGATGTCCATTGTGGGCAATGTCAGCCATACTCTTCTTGACCGATCCCAGTATGGTGGGCCATTCCTGCCTGGTTTCTGTGAAGTTGAAGTTTCCCCCAAGAAATTCCAGAAGGAGAAGGAAACCGTACATTTTGACCACATCACCTATGCCTGTCTGCAAGGTAGCTCACAAGCTGTGCTGGACTGGTACAAAAACTGTTTTGGTTTCCAGCGCTTCTTCATCCACCATCAAGATGATGCTGCAGAAGGCTTTCGAATTCAGGGGGAAGACATGGGCCTTCGTCTTACTGCCATGCAATACAGTGATGATCGATTGTCACCCTTTGAGCCCGACTGTAAATTTGTTCTGGCTGAGTCACTGCCAAGGCAAAGGATGGGCCAGGTGGACACTTTCTTACAGCAACATGAAGGAGCTGGCATCCAGCATGTGGCCCTTTATACTACAGACATTGTAAGTACTGCTGCAGCCATGGCAAAGTCAGGAGTAAGCTTTTTCAAGCCATCCGCATCATATTACAATGAGAAAAGCAAAGAGAAGGAGATGCAGCAAATTGGGCAAGATCTTCAGCTCCTGAAAGACTACGGCATCCTTTTTGATGCAACAATAGCTGACAAAGGACAGGACAGTAGCCCTAGCCTGCTTGAGAAGCAATACCTGATGCAGATCTTCACTAAACCTCTTTTTACAGAAGAGACCTTCTTCATAGAACTCATTGAGCGCCATGGGGCTGCAGGTTTCGGTGAGGGAAATGTCCGTGCTCTTTGGAAATCTGTTCAGGATTATATGGATCAGCAGCAAAGACCCACTCTACTTGAGAACAAAGCCTGACAGAATGTTCTTTTTGTTTGCTCAGAGGCGCCTTGAACTGCAAGATGGGCAGCAAATAAATTTAATAAATTATAGCTAAATAATATAGTGCTGCCTCAAATTTGTTAACATAGGATTAATGCCCATGTTAGAACAAGCATATGGACTGATTCGGTTTAAATATGTACCTGTGACAATATCACACTTGAAAGCACGTAGGTTTTTGCCCTGCTAGTTGAACTATTGACTTAATTGACTTTAACAAAGTACAAAGGCCTAAGGGAATGGCTGTTATATTTTCCCTAGGAAGAAAGAAATGCTCTCTCTATTAGAATAAGTGACTGCTATCTGCAGAACTCCCCCAGTGTTTGGGATCATGGAGTTCAAATCTGAAAAGGTGCAAGTTTCCTGTTGCTTAACTACAGTACTCTTAGTGAAGAAAGTTACCAAGTTAAGTAAGAAAAAAGTCTCAATGAAGACAACCAAGCTCAGAAGACACAAAGAGCAAACTGTGGACTACGTATTTTCTTACTATTGGAAGAAATTCAGTTCTCTCTGTTCTTACCTTCTTGCATCCTCTAAATTTAGTGTTTAGACAAACAGGAGGCAAGTGTATCTCTTAGCCACTCTCACATGAATCAGAACATCTTTTTAACAATCAGAACATTTATATACAGATGGAATGTAGCTATTATTATGCTATTTATACTCCTAAAATGTGAAAAGAACCTGACTTAAACTTTATCTAATATGAAGAACTCTGAATAGATGTTGTGATTCTCAAAATATATTGCTAATAAATCTTAATATACAGTCAGGTCCAGAAATATTGGGACATTGACACAATTCTAACATCTTTGGATCTATACACCACCACAATGGAGTTGGAATGAAACAAACACAATGTGTGTTAACTGCAGACTATCAGCTTTAATTTGAGGGTATGTACATCCAACTCAGGTGAATGGTGTAGGACTTAACAGCAGTTTGCATATGTGCCTCCCACTTGTTAAGGGACCAAAAGTAATGGGACAGAATAATAATCATAAATCAAACTTTCCCTTCTTAATACTTGGTTGCAAATCCTTTGCAGTCAATCACAGCCTGAAGTCTGGAACACATAGACATTACCAGATGCTGGGTTTCATCCCTGATGATGCTCTGCCAGGCCTCTACTGCAACTGTCTTCAATTCCTGCTTGTTCTTGGGGCATTTTCCCTTCAGTTTTGTCTTCAGCAAGTGAAATGCATGCTCAATGGGATTCAGGTCAGGTGATTGACTTGGCCATTGCATAACATTCCACTTCTGTCCCTTCAAAAACTCTTTGGTTGCTTTTGCAGTATGCTTTGGGTCATTGTCCATCTGCACTGTGAAGCGCCATCCAATGAGTTCTGCAGCATTTGGTTGAATGTGAGCAGATAATATTGCCCGAAACACTTCAGAATTCATCCTGCTGCTTTTGTCAGCAGTCACATCATCAATAAATACAAGAGAACCAGTTCCTTTGGCAGCCATACATGTCCACACCATGACACTACCACCACCATGCTTCACTGATGAGGTGGTATGCTTAGGATCATGAGCAATTCCTTTCCTTCTCCATACTCTTCTCTTCCCATCACTCTGGTACAAGTTGATCTTGGTCTCATCTGTCCATAGGATCTTGTTCCAGAACTGTGAAGGCTTTGTTAGATGTTGTTTGGCAAACTCTAATCTGGCCTTCCTGTTTTTGAGGCTCACCAATAGTTTACATCTTGTGGTGAATCCTCTGTATTCACTCTGGTGAAGTGTTCTCTTGATTGTTGACTTCGACACGCATACACCTACCTCCTGGAGAGTGTTCTTGATCTGGCCAACTGTTGTGAAGGGTGTTTTCTTCACCAGGGAAAGAATTCTTCGGTCATCCACCACACTTGTTTTCCGTGGTCTCCCAGGTCTTTTGGTGTTGCTGAGCTCACCGGTGCATTCCTTCTTTTTGAGAATGTTTCAAACAGTTGTTTTGGCCACGTCTAATGTTCTTGCTATCTCTCTGATGGGTTTGTTTTGTTTCTTCAGCCTAATGATGGCTTGCTTCACTGATAGTGACAGATCTTTGGATCTCATCTTGAGAGTTGACAGCAACAGATTCCAAATGCAAATAGCACACTTGAAATGAACTCTGGGCCTTTTATCTGCACATTGTAATTGGGGTAATGAGGGAATATCACACACCTGGCCATGGAACAGCTGAGAAGCCAATTGTCCCATTACTTTTGGTCCCTTAACAAGTGGGAGGCACATATACAAACTGCTGTAAGTCCTACACCGTTCACCTGAGTTGGATGTACATACCCTCAAATTAAAGCTGACAGTCTGCAGTTAACGCACATTGTGTTTGTTTCATTCCAACTCCATTGTGGTGGTGTATAGATCCAAAGATGTTAGAATTGTGTCAATGTCCCAATATTTCTGGACCTGACTGTATGTCCAAAATTGTTCTGTAGAAGGGCTCTCATTTCAAAATCCATTGAATATGAAGAGATTTACTCAATTCATTTCTTTAGATGTTATTGGAAAGTATCCATGGTTTAATTAACTTAATGGTTACTCCTATTAATGAAGCATCAGCCACATCCACTTGCTGTTACTGAATGCTACTGAATGTTATTGAAAGTGGTGGTGAAGTGGTAACTTGTCCAAATATTGGAGGTTCTTGAATATATTGCCTTGGATAGCAGAGTCATGTTTCTCTTTGCTAGAACAAGTGAAACAAATCACCTTAAAATACAGAATGGATTATAACTCCGTACACTGTATTTTGATTGAAGAATCAGGGGGATCAGTTCACTTTTCAACCTCATTCTCATCAATTTAATAAGTTTTGAGAAAACAACTAAAAATGGAAGCTCACAAGTTTTTAAAAATAAACAATAATTAAGGTTTTATTAGCGAAGCCAGTTATAAAACAAGACATTCCAAGCATTAAAATAGTTGATCATACAGGAAAATGGCATGCAATACAAAGTAGCGTGTAGACAAACAATGATTATTCAGGTACCTGTTCCCAAAAGAAACTGGCTCTAAAAAATAATCCTTATCCTGCTTTGTCACATTCTTTCAATGTGCCATATCCCAAAACATCTGCTAGTTGGTAGCTTTCTTTGGCACTACTCAAATTGTGGTTGAGCATGCAAGGTTAAGAGCAGTGCTTATTTAATAAGACATTTAGCAAATCAGTAGGAAACCAGATGACAATGTCACAGCATTATGCTTCAGTATCTCACATTAGCAATACTGGGCAGATATATGTCCCTAGAGGATCTTATTCACAAGCCCTTCAAAAAAAATGATTGACCCAGGTTTCAAAATACTGTATCAGAATACTGGGAGTGCAAAGATGTACACTCTTTATGTTTTTTCTATACTGTGCCTGAACTTGCCATCAGCTATTGAGACCAGTTCTAAGAAATGAATGCAAAGAAAGCAGCTTCTTGGAAGAACTACTCTGTTCTTCAGGCTTTAATTGGCTGGTCCTGAGAGAGTCCCGTTTCTTCTTCTTCACAACCTGTACAATGATACACAGGTAGAGATTTAACAGAGAAGACCCTGCAAACAGTCACCTATTTCATTCTCTCCTACCTGATCCTGTAAGCACTACTGTGATTAGTACCTTGGCCAACCACAAGTCAATTCACTGACCAATTTTGGGACTTTAAAAAGAGACAAGAGACTAAGAATAGGAAGCTAAACAAGGCATGAGCAAAATCTGCTTGGTTCTATCAAAAGATAAACTTACTTGGGCATCGTTGATTCTACAGTTCCATTTTTCAAAAACTTTGAAGACCTGAAAAAGAACACAGAAACTATATACTCAAATAATTCTAGGGCCATTTTTAATGTGGATAGTATATGGCAATGTCCAGCCTATATATAGTAAGACTGAAAAGGATATGGGACTAAGAGCAAGTTCTGTTCTCAGGAACCCTGTACATCTGATTCCATTTTGCATTCCACAATGCTTATACATTGTGCATGAATATATTGAGAAATCAGTTAAATGTTTGCAAATGTATCGATGATTAGAAATCTTGACATAGCTACACATGAACTTATCAACTCTACTGTAGAACGTAGAGACATCAATGCGGTCCCAAGTTGTTACACTGACAGGCTTGAGTGTCTGCATAGAATTGGTTCTAATTCCACAGAGAGGTGGGGAGACAGGATGGCTTCTGTTTCTGTGCACTGAAGTCTTCTTATCAACATTCCTTGGAAGCACATTGTCTGAACAATGAAGCAAATGGCATTCATATGAAATGAAACAATTGCAATTTTTAAATCTACCCTCTGCCATAAATCTCACTGGATGTTTCCGGGCCAATCGGTATCTCAAGGGAGGAGGTTGGGATAGAAGAAAATGGACAACTGATTCTACATAAATTGTAATGTATTCCTACAGGAAAGGCAAAATACAAATCTAACACATTTACCTACATATTGATTCCTCACATACAACTTTTTAGAGAAATGCAAAAAATCCACTATGAAAGTGTTTAAACCTCAGATTTTCAGTACCTTTTTCATAGCTGTGGAGATGGCTGATATTTGAAATTCTGTTTTGGTCACCCATCGGGATGCTGGCAGTTCCACATTCCTATTCCAATTTTCCTCATCTCTGTCCACATTCAAAAAATAGATCAGATATGTTTGGCGGATGTGGGAGAAGATATGGAGCACCTGGGGAGGGAGTGGTGGATATGTAGATGGATCCTGTAACTCAATATTATGATGGACAGAAGGAAGACACTGAATGGTAGAGATAGAAACTAAATGCCCCAAGGAGAGGAGTTTTCTTTTTTAACCTTTACTCTTCCCTGCTTTGAGACAAGGAGCTGCAGGGACATGTTATCTGGATTTAGGAGCAAAGATATGGGGGGGGAAAAATCTGCTGCATTGAACCATACTTTATAACAATTTGGATAAGGCTAAAATTGAAATTAAGATCTATATTTTTGTAACCTTGCAAGTTTTAAAAGTCTTAGTAACACAATAAACTGATAAATTCTGCTAAATTCTGCTGCCCACATTTCTGGGGGAACTAATTTCACTGCTATGTAGCTATCTGTTTGCAACCTTGGCTAATTTCAATATCCAACAATCATTTTCCAAATGTAGTACATTCATCTTGGTTCCATGCACCTACTCTACTCTAAAACTTTACTATAATTGTAAATAGCAATAGAACTTCTAATGCTAATGCTACCGCAAAGTGAACTGGGCTGAAGATCCAAGACACAGCAAAAACATGGGAGAAACTTGTTGGAAGACTGGCTAACAATGGCTGATTATAAAAACATTACCAATTCCTATCTGGGATCCAAATTACCTCTCCGACATACTGTAGTTGCCTCACTGCCAAGTCATTGCCAAGTGAGGCTAGGAGGTGATCTGCTAGAATAACTTTCTGTTGCTTTTCCTGGCCTTGATCAAGGAGGATGCTAGGGAACTCCCACAGTCCAGCTAGCAGACCTACAAGAAAATGTCTAATCAGTGCAATTTAATATAACACAATGGTTACATGTGTGAATTTGAACTCTGCTTCAAAAAAAAAAAAAAAAAAAAAAGCTATTGAAATGGTTTCAGCCAAAATGATATTTCTACAGTAACTATGTAAGGAATGAGTATTCTCTGTTAAAAGCAGTCTTTCCCTCACATAGATAAAGGAATTCAATAAACTTCGTTATTCAAATGTTTTCTCAATGAGAGTGGAAAAACATGTCATTAATCAAAAGATGCTTGGGCCCACACCACTGGATAGTATCTGGAATGGACATACAAATAAACTGGCTCTTGGTTCAGGCCTAAAGATACTCACATATTTATAGTTTCTTATTCAAAGTTACCAAGATAAAATTGGCTTCTTTATCCTAAGAAAAACCCCTACAAACCTTCAGAGAAACAATCCTTCCTGGTAATTTTTTTTTTAAAAAAAAAGACAAAAAGATATGATCAAGATCCAAATTTCTATAACTGCTACAGAACTAGAACTTGAGATGTAATATTAGATGATAATGCTTAGTCTTCCTTGGTTTCTTCTTCAGCTGGTTACCTGAGCTGGCTCTCCTCACAAGAAAGTACTCTGGATTCCCATCACTGCATCTCCTCTGTAGCACGCATGTGGCTGTGTGTTCTATTCTGGGCTGCTTCTTGGTAGTCTTTCTTGGGAAATTAGTGACACCAAGGCTGGGCTCCCATGGTACTGAAGGAGGCAGGCAGAGGGAACAGCTCCCTGAGACAGCAGCTGATAATGAGAAGGAAGCAGCAGGCGATCAGCCAGACTCTGAAATGCTGACAGTAGCAGGAGTAGTGCTTCATTATAGTCTCGTTTCATGGACATCTAGGACAGGAAGGCTTGGCTTGGCAAGAAGAACCACAGTTCCTCCAACTCTGCCCATCCCATGGTGACAAAATTCAACCCACCTCCCACCCTTCCTTCCCAAGAAAGCTAAATTAATAAACAGAATAGAACAGAATACATTTAAAATAGCAATATTAACAAGTATAAAATAAGCATTACACAAAGATGCTATTTTTTATCCATTTGCCAAGACCTCCAGATCCCATGATTACATTCAAAAATGAAAGCTGAATGTCCCCTGTAGCAAAGACAACCTCACTTTAAAGATGCAAACTTTCCAAACGAGTAGGCTGTTTAGAAGCACATCACACATTCAATCCATTTTTTCCCACAAGGACATTGTTAAAGCCTTAATAATGAAGGTAATACGAAGACAAAAATACTATTTTTCTTGAGGGGTTAAACCAGCTGATTTGAGAGCATGTTCACAATTCTGCCCGTCCTTATGCATCATCAGGACAATGAAGCAATGTCTGGGGAAAGAGGTTAGTTGGGAATGAAGTTCTGAGAGTCTTCCTCGCTTTTATAAAACCTTAATTCTCATTCTCAGTGTAAACAATCATCATGGTAATATAAAACCTTTCTTAGCACTTACCACATTCCTCCATATCTAACACAGGGAGGCTTTCAGAAGCAGTTTTTCCTAACAGTCTCTTGGTGGAATTTAACCGATGCTTTTCCACCTGCAAAGGATAAAGGTTTTTTGTACTGGTAAAAGTATAGGAAGAGGGTGAAGGTAACAACAGGGAGAGACGTGTCTGGAAGGAAACTAAGACCTGCCTATTTTAGGGTTCAATTAATCATGATTCCAAGTCAAGATTAAGCCAAGTCAAAAATTGGACTGCAAGGTTTATGTTATGCAGCAGCCTTTCTCATACAGTTTTTTGTAGTAAATAAATAATGCCCACATGCACTCTCCAAAGGTGCAAATTTCAATTTTTAGAGCTTCCACAGGAAACATAGACACTTAACTTCACGATCAATAGAAAAGCTACGAGTGGCGCAAAGAGCCATGGAAAGATACATGCTCGGCATTACAAGACAAGACAGAAAAACCTGCACATGGATTAGAGAACAAACGAAAGTATGAGATATCATCAAGAGAGTAAAAGAATTGAAATGGAAATGGGCTGGTCACTTAGCAAGAAGAACTGATGGCAGTTGGACCAAGACAGTCATAGAACCACTTGATAAAAAGCATCCATGAAAGACACTTAAAACAAGATGGATCTACAACATCCGCAAGTATTGTGGGCCCAATTGGCAAAAGAAAGCTCAGGACCGTATTGGTTGGAAACATGCAGAAGAGGCCTTCATCCTGCAGTGGATAGACAATGGCTAAAATGATGATGGCCATTACTAAGAATTCTGGCAGTTGAATTCCAAGCAACTAGCATATGCCCAGACTGGGGAAAGCAGTCAACACTTTAAAAAAAAGAGAGTTGTAGGAGAATTGCTAGGTGGCAGAGATTGTGAAAAATAATTAACATTCTGATAAATACAAATATAACAAAGCCTCACTAGGGCAACATTATTAGGCTAACATGCATATATATTCAGAAATAAGTCACTCTTCAAGATCTTAGATTTACTTTTGAGTGTTTTTGAATAGGCTTGCACTGTTAGCCTAATAATAAGGCTACAACTTTGTGAGAGAAAAATTCCCTCACAGTTGCTGTGCCTATTAATGGCCTTTGGCTTTAGACAATTAAATAAGCCAATCAGAGAGCAGCTCCTGGGTTTGAATCTCCCGGGCTTTTCTATGCTCTCCCCTAACTGCCACTGCGACAGTATAAAAGGAGATGCTTGCCAGCAGACATCCTCTTCGGGATGAGAGGCAGAGCTGAAGTCACTAAAGCCTCTTCCTTCTGAGGAAGAAAAGCCCGAACTCCAATCGCATAGAGCGATTGCACCAGAGAGCTGACAGGACACTTAAGAAAGAGAATGACATCTAATATTCTTTTTGAAGAGACCTTGTTTTATTTTATGTAAATAAAAACAGTTTAGTATAAACTGCTTGTGTGTTGTGACTCCGACCCCCGAGCCCGTCTTATCGGAGGGAGAAGACTCCGAAGGTGAAGGAGAGGAGTTGGCCAGGCCTCCCTCTCCAGGACCCTCCTCTCTGGCAATGCCTCAGGTGTCTCCCGAAGGAGAAGAGATTGGCCAGGAGCCAGGTATTTCTGAGCAGTCGCAGTCGGACAGTGACGGAGATAAGCCTTGGCTGGATCCACACCAGCGCCGGAGAGACAAGCGCATGCAGCAGAAAAGGAGGCGTGCCAGAGATTAAGCTGAGTCACTGGACCACACCCCAAAGGGGATAAAAGGGGGTGTGGTGACCATTCAGGCTCTGTGACGGACAAAACTAAACAACTAGCGAGTCGCATTGTATCTCTGAAACTATGTTATCTGCCTGCCTTGGATTTAATACGGACTGGACTTGACAATTCTTTGACTTTGTGTATTTGTTTTGGTTTATCTGACGGAGGAGGAACACCTCCCTCTGTGAGTAAAGTTCTTGGCAAGCAGCTACTGGGTTGCCGCCAATCCTGTTATTGAAGGAATTTATTGTCTGCAAGTTTTATTTAACCCCTGGCTGACTGTTTGTGTGCGTGTGTGAGATGGGGACAGAACATTGTGAGGCTCATTTGTTCTAGTAGATTGTAAAAGAGATAAGGTTACAGTCCATCGAGGCCCCCTCCATCACAAACTTTAATCATACTAAAGCAACACGATGCTGTTCAAGCATATTAAGATTACAACTCCCCAAATTCCCAGTATACAGAGGAAAGCCGTAGACCCTCTCAGCCTCAAGATTCATATGTGATCCTATCTACTGTCTTCTTGGAATCTTCATCTACTCCACACATGTATATGTATATGGCGTTTTAGTTTAAGATACAAAGCCAGTGCACCACACCCCACAAAGAACAAAGCCTCCCGCATATCATTCTTGCAGATCTGGGTGGAGCATTCAAACAAACAGGGTGTCCTTACTTGATGAAGAGCTCTGCAGTGCTGTTTCACTGGACATTCCATGCATAATGGGGTCTTGGGAGTACACACAGTTGCACCCAATTCCATCATTGCTTGATTAAAGTCACCTGGATGGGTCTGGTCAACCAGTGTGTGGGCTAAAGCCCTAAGAACAATAGCATTGTTATTTATTAATGCTATATACTGTAGGGGAGGAATTCAAGTTAGAAAAAGATATGGTTCACTTGTTCAAAAGATCTCCCGCTATAACACAAATTGCATTGCATACAATTTGGCATAATGTGAGACAACCCTGCACTCTCTGGAATGGCTGAGATGATAATTAATGTTTTTTCCATGAAGTAGAAACTAAATAAATGCGGAGTAACAAGTACCACATTAAAAATTATGTTTAGTTTTCTCTTCAACCTGAGAAATTATATACTGCATTTTGTTATGTATACAGAATCTTAAGTATACCAAAACCCCATTATAACCAAGATTTCCCCTCAAAGTCCCCAAATCAAAAAACACCACCAAATTTCTTTCTTCAGGATGTATGCCATCATTTATAGCATGTATGTGTCAAATATTACATTGTAATCTGTTTTCTATTCTATTCATTACAGTCATTGGTAAGTATTTGCAGGTATAGGTCGTCCTCGACTTGTAACAGTTCATTTAGTGACCATTCAAGGTTACAGCAGCACTGAAAAAAGTGATTCAAGACCATTTTTCACACTTAACAACCATCACAGGGATCCCTAAGGTCATGTGATCAAAATTCAGATGCTTGGCAACGGACTCACATTTATGACAGCTGCAGTGTCCCTGGGGTTATGTGACCACTTTTTGTGACCTTTTGACAAGCAAAGTCAAGGGGGAAGCCAGATTCACTTAACAACGGTGTTCCATTTTAACAACCGCAGTGATTCACTTAAAAATGGTGGCAAGAAAGGTAATAAACTGGGGCAAAGGTCACTTAACAAGATCGCTAAACAACAGAAATTTAAGGCTCAATTGTGGTCGTAAGTCAAGGACAACCTGTATTAACCTTACCCATCATCTGTAAAACCTCTCCAAATCTTCCCTCTGGTGTCAGACATTAGTTTACTATTTTAGAGCACTTTGGACCTCAATTATTAATATGATCCTATACAACTTCACATTTTTAATTTTAGTAACTCCAGGATGGATTATAAGAAAAACCTGATATAGGCTGTCCTCACCTTACAACCATTCATTTAACAACTGTTTGAAGTTACAACAGCACTGAAAAAAGTGACTTACAACTGGTTGTACTTATGACCTTCGCAGCATCCCCAGAGTCGCAATTTGCAATTTGGGCAACTACTACGTATTTACAACAGTTGCATCATCTTGTGGTCACCTGATCACCATCTGTGACCTTTCCAGCCAGCTTCCAACAAGTAAAGTCAATGAGGGAAGCGGGATTCATTTAACAACTGTATAATTTGCTTAATGACAATTTTTTTTGTTAAATTGGGCACAATTCCCTTAACAACTGTAATGTCTTAGTGGCAGAAATCCTGGTCCCAACTGCAGTTGTAAATTTGGGACTATCTGTATGAATGCTAGTTGCTCAGCAAGTATCTTGTTTATTTTTTTATTCCATTCTGTAAAAGTCTAACATCTTAACATGACATGACAGACAAAACTTATTACTAAGATATTAATGTCCTAATACTTGAATGAAATATTAGTTATGACCCCCACAACAATATCTTGTGACTATAAAAATCTTGATTTATTTTGCTTCCTACTTCAGGTGTGCCCAAGGCAATGGCTATGGGGAAGGATGTGCCAATAAAGAACAGAATAAAGAACAGAAAAAAGCCTATTTTGTTTAAAAACAATTATTTATCTCACTGGTAAGCCATAGGAAAATCTGGCCAACAAATATTTGCATTGAGTCAAAGTTATCTAGAAATGAATGAGAAATTTCCCTTCCTCTATAGAATCTGATGGCATAAACACATCATTTTAAGAATCTTTCATTTCATTATTTAAATAAGAATTTTTAGACTTCATAGTTGTGGACAAATTTTAAAAACATGGAAATAATATATCCTGAAAATTCAGCTATCAATGCAAACACTATATTTAGGTATCCTAACATCATTCTTTATAGCTTCTATTCATTCCTCAGCACCCTGTTTAATCCAATCCTAAATGATTTTTGTGTGATTTATAACTTGCTGCTTCTGCAGGAATTCAAGGCAGTTGTAATTGAGATTTCTCATCCAGCAATAATCCCAGTGAGCTACACTGGACAGAGACCTTTAAGTCCTCTTGACTTCAAAGGGACTTCTTATATACAAAGCACTTTATTCTCTATTGCTGGGGTTTTCAAACTCAAGGCCCGAGGGCCGGATCCAACCCGTGTGGTGCTTAGATCTGGCCCACGGGGCCACCGTGGAAAGAGCGAAGGTGTGAAGGTTCTGACAGATGCCCTAATTAAATCATGAGTCTCGAGCCAAGTTTCAAAAGGAATCCAATGATTTATTAGGAACAGCATGCCAGCATCTACTCGCTTGAGGTTTGCTCTGCCCTCACGAAAGTTACGGCCCACCTTTGACCCTGTTCCCCCCTCCTTTCAGTCTGTGTCATAAATCACATTCTCCAACTAGGCACTCCCGTGTGATGTACAGATACGCCTCTCACCCCGGGTTTGGTAATCTGAGATTCACCGTTGGAAGAATGTATACATGGAATGTACTCCCCCCTTGCTTCTATTGGCAACTCGAGAGCAGACTAGAAATGCTTTTGTGAGTTTACAGAAGGACTGGCCCGCAGTGCTTCTGCCAATGAAAATGGAGCTCGGGAGGGCTGCGGGTGGAGGGTTGCAGGAAACCATTGCAACCTAAAATGGAGCTTGGGAGGGCTGCAGGTGGCCCTCCTGAGCTCAGTTTTTGCTGGCAGAGGGTTGCAGGAGGCTATCGCAGCTGAAAACGGAGCTCAGGAGTTTGTTTCTCTGGCAGAGCGCTTGGGCCACCATAGGCGCCCCCGACATGAGGGACATCAAGCTGGCCATGTCCACCCTGGCCACGCCCACTCCACATACACCCCGAGGTCAAACACAACCCTGATGCAGCCCTCAATGAAATAGAGTTTGACACCCCCGCTCTATTGTATTAATTTTTACTTTATAGATCTTAGTGCCTTGTAGGAATGAAAGTATTTCCTTACCAGAGTGCGTCTGCAGCAGCTGAATTGGCAGTATCAGCACCAATGGCTCTTGTACGACACAAAACTCGAGTCACATTTCCATCTACCACTCCTGTCACCTGTATATTTTGAAGAAAAATCTACCAGTTCACAAGAAAACTTGTGTCCAGGAACAAATGAGAAAGAAAATCAGACGCTGAATGATAACAAAAGGCACTTACAACCCTATTTCAATCAACTTCATGAATTTGAAGGGACTGAATTTTAGTGCATTGACTAAAAAGCAGTTAAAGTCCTATTTTCAAGTAATTACTTGACTAGTCCTAAATAAACTAAACTCATTCAGCTTTGGGGCCTCTATTTACAAAACAAGGGATAATAATAGTACTGAGCTTCCTTACAGGGCTGCTGTACAGGGTTAAAATTAGAAACAAATACAAAATCATACAGTATGAATACAATTTGAGAGTATATGTCAAAGAAGTGCCTCTCTCCGATTTGATAAATCAGTCTCTCACCCTCCTTCAACACATATAGCATTCTTTCTTTCAACGATTCCCCACAAAGAGGGAGAATGGGCTGAGATACATCTGGCTCAAAATCATCCAACAAGCTTTTATGCTTGAGATAGATTTCAATGAATCTTCTAAACATACTCATGACCACAGTACCACTCAGGCTGTGAACAGATTTGCTTGGTCATCTTAGAAATGTCTGTTAAAATCCTCCAACCTCCATGAAGGGAAGTAGGTTGTTTACAAGGGAGAGGGCCTTTTCAGTTGGGCCTCCAGGTTATGCAAATCCATCCCCAAGAAAACACACTTGTTTGCAACTGATATATTTTCAGTACTAGGCTAAGACTGTCTGTTCTTCCTTCCAGGCATTTTACAGTTGATGTAGACATCAGGAGCCAAGCTAAAATCAAAATATTTATATTTACGTCTGTGCATGAAAATGCATGATAGACCTTTCCTGTTCTACTTGTTATATTTTATTGTTGCATTATTTTAATTTTGTAGTAATTTTGTGATTGGTCAAAAGAATTTCAATTATTGGATGTCACTGATATTACTAATTACTAATGTATATCATAAAACTTATGTAAATAGAGCCATTATTTTTCAAAAATAAAAGCAACAAGAATAGCCTCCATTTTACTGGTTCTTCTTCATCCTACTGGAAAATATTTCATCTTTTCACTGAGCCCTTCCAGCAAGGGGAGATGCCTTTTTTTTTTTTTTGGTCTCTAAACACATAAATGGGATCAAAATAGAAGAAGCCTAAAGCTGCAAAAGGGCAATTAGATAGAAAATCTTTGGAGAGCTGGGAATGATGATTTTTGCAAAACAGAGAAATAGCTGCCCAATGCTATCTTCCATATGCATCTAAAGCAAGGTTAAGTACCCAAAATGATGGCATCATTACCTGGCCAAATGCTATGGATGCAATAGCTCCTGCAGTGTACTTCCCTACCCCTGGCAGCTGCTTCTGCAGTTCTTCTGCTGTCCTTGGCATATGACCTGCCAGTTGTGACATCACCTGTAAAAGACCAATGAATAAAGTAATCAAAGCAAAGGGAAAGAAATAACTGAATGTCTACTATACACTTAACAAGAAGGTTGTGCTGTATCCATAGTATTTTCAATACAATGTTTTTATTAAAAAACACATCTCTAAGAGGTTCAGACATGCTGTTGAAGACTAATAGTTCTTTAAGATGTTCCCAACCATGTTGAAGTTATATAGGGACTTGAAGACCTGACCTAGGGCAATGTGTTGGATGAACTCATTTATGAGTGGAATGTGAAAATGACTAATGTTTAGCCTTGGATGTTCTTGTTTGTTTATTTAAATTTATTGGCCACGCAATTCTAGTGGAATCAAGGGTTGGGTTTTTTTCTTTGTTGTTGGCTTGTTCTTGGATTTAATCCTATATTAACCACCCAGTCTCAATTTGTGAAGTGACTATAAGCCAAATAAATAGAATTATCTTCTTGCCAAAGTTAAGCACCAAACCCGTTCAACCAGTAACTCATTAATATTGTCTAAACCAGTGGAGGGTTTGCTACCGGTTCTCCTCGTTCTTGCGAACCGGTAGTAAAAATTTTGAGTAGTTCGGAGAACCGATAAATACCTCTGCCTGGCCCTGCCCCCAATCTATTCGCTGCCTCCCAACTCCCATCTGATCAGCTAGAAGGAAAAAATCAGGACTCGCTTCTGAGCCAGAAGATCACTTGGCAAAGAAGAAGGAAAAAAAAAAAGATGCCGTCACTTTAAATTGACAAGCCAAGAAGCAGCTGCTGGAAGGAGTTTTAGGTTGCTTCTCTCTTTGTTCAGTTTCCATCCATTGCTTCTTGTTTTGCCTTCTGGTGCTTTCGAAAATACATTGCCCCCCCTTTCTTTCTGGCAGCCCCTTAAAAGCCTGTTGCCTATCACACTCTTGGGCAAAGCATGTGAGCCATTTCCTCCTTTCAGTGGTCCATGAAAGTGCATCTATAGTATGTAGATAATAAAGTTGAAAAAAGGTGAACAACATTTTTACAGAGCTATAGATATGTTGAGGTTAGGTGTGACAAGGAATGGCTGGGAGGGGAGGGGCCAGGCGAGGCACCACTTGACGTGAGTGACATTGAGTTGGCCACTCCTACCCAGTCATATGACCATCAAGCCACACCCACAAAACAAGCCACACCCACAGAACTGGTAGTAAAAAATTTTAGAACCCACCCCTGGTCTAAACTAAAGTACCTTATGTGCACCTTCCTGGAGCCTTTTTCCTCGAGAATAGTAGCCAAGACCTGCCCATAGTTCATTCACTTCCTATTCTCAAACAGAAATGAGAAAAAAAACCAAATTAACCCAAGAGGATAAATTAATAAATGTGTGCATATTCATAAACATATTTAAAATCTTTTTACCTCTAACGAAGCTTCAGCTAAATCCTGCAAGGTTGGCCATTTCTACATTACAAAGAAAAACAGGTGTTTATTTACTGGCTCTGCAAAGCAGAACAGATGCACAAATCATTCAGAAACCAGAATGCTGGTTAATGTAAATGCAAATTTGCCACAAAGAAAGAAGCTCAGCATCACCTGCATCCAACGATTGTAGTAATTAATCACTGAAGCCACTTGGGTTTGTTGGAGCATGATCTCTGATACCCACACTGCAAGCACAAAGGGGAAACAGCAGCATCAGAGAGTGCTGATTAAAGATACCGTACCTAGATCAAGGAAGCCTGATAAAAGAGATATGCCCCTTAATAACTATAATAATAAAAATAATATATAATCAAATGCATGCTACCCAAATCAACATATAATCAAACGCCAAACAAATAAATTCATTTGTTGATGAGAATTGACCACATTTTTTTTTGCATTTAATATAGTTTGATGAAATAGATGAATTATTGCTCTCACCAGCATATGCTCGTTTGTCATCATCAGTTTCAGTTGCAGCCTGCAACAGAATGAAAACCCAATGCAACAATTACCTCATTTTAAAGAAAACAAAATATTTCTGAACCATTCCTTATTTTTCCATACCAGTGTCCTCCATGGCAGATCTCGTTTACATTTATTGTACCAAGATAGCAGTCTCTTCTGGAAGTCTCTGATTTCAACTGCATCACTGAATGTGTGAAATAAAGGCTGAGAACTTGGCACTTCTGTAGTAAAGAGAAATTAACATTTTAAAGTTAGCATTTCTTAGGGCTACATTGAGGGGGCAATCAATCTGGAATTGAATTTTTTACCATTTCACTCTCCAATTTATTATAATGTACAATCACATAAAAGATTAAGTTAGGAGTGATCACCCCAAGATGAATTATATTTAATTTTATTCAATACAATCAATCAGAATAGAGCTGGAAGGGACTTTGGAGGTCTTCTAGTCCAAGGCCCTGCTCAAGCAAGAGATTCTATACCATTTCAGATAGGTAGCTAACCAGTCTTTTCTTTAAAACCTCCAGTGATGAAGCACCCACAACTTCTGAAGGCAAGCTGTTCCACTGATTAATTGTCCTCACTGTTAGGAGGTTTCTCCTTAATTCCAGGTTGCTTCTCTCCTCGATTAGTTTCCATCCATTGTTTCTTGCCTTCTTGGTGCTTTGGAAATAAGTTGACTCTCTTCTTTGTGGAAACCCCTCAAATACTAGAATACTGCTTTCATGTCACCCCTAGACCTTCTTTTCTCTAGACTGGCATACCCAATTCCTATAACCGTTCTTCATATGTTTTTGTCTCCAGGCCCTTAATCATCTTAGTTGCTCCTTTGCACTTTTTCCAAAGTCTCAAACTGGATGCAGTATTCCAGACAACACGCCTGGAATACTGCATCCAGTTTTGGTCACATTACAAAAAAGAAGTCAAGACTTTGGAAAAATATAGTACTACTCTTGGTATACTTCTGTTTCTTGAGCAAAATCTTTGTTTAGTTCTATTACCTTTGTAAAGTACAAGTCGTTTTTTCACCTTTCTTTGATGATTTTTGGATTTTCCCAGATTGCTGCACTTTGACGTTTGGCGTTTACTCATTGCCAAGCTAGGGAGAGCATAAAGTATGTTATCATTAAATTAAATCAAACTCTTTCCAAATCTAAATGTAACAATTTGTGCTTTATATAAATACTCTGAATTGTACCAAATTTAGTATGCAAACAGATAATCACAAATTACAAATGTGGGCAATCTGCAAAAAATATGCTGTAAGGAGAAATCAGGGCTACAAATGGGAATCTTTTTTTTATTCTTGAAAGGGACTCACCTACCAGAGGTGAAAATTCCAAAGCTTGTACAGTGACTTCACAGTGCTAATAAAAGATTAGGTCTTTTCCCCCCTCCAGGCAATCTTCCCCTGTGGCAACCAAACCCCACTTTTCGAAGAGTGCGATTTTCCTTCAATAACCTAAATTAACGCAGACTATTCTAGCTTTCCATGCCTAACAAAGCCGTCGGCTCCACTCACCACGTGCCAACAACATCCGTGTAGGAAGATTGTTTTGTTCTTACACGCTCAAAAATGGAACAATTATTAGAAAACAGACGTCCTTTCAAAGGAGGCATACAACGTTTCTTTTTTCCCCTTTCCCTCTCATCTGTACGGCTCTTTGTAGCCCCAGAGCCGTCACGGAAACGCTACCGGCTGACCGTGCACACAAACAGAACAAACCACGAACTACACAAACAGCAGATTGAAAAGGAAAGGGATACACAACGCCCACCAACCACAGTTCTACTGTAGGAAGCACAAAAGCCTATGCTTTCCAATGGTTATTTTTTTCTTTTATCGATAAATGTCCCTCTTTGGGCAGAAGTGAAAGTAAAGGACAATTTAAGGATTTTACCGTACTCACGTGTTTCTTTCCTACAACTGGAGGCAACACACTTTCTAACGTAATTCTTACTCCGTGTACAAAGAGGTGTGTTTCTAATGGAGAGAGGGGACGGGGTTCTTCGCAAGCTGCCCTGCAATTAATCTTTCAAGCAGCAAATGAACCCGAGACTTAGTTTGTGTTGTCCTGCAGGTTTTGCGATTTGGAGGCGCGAAGTTTTAACTCGGCGGAAACGTTGGGGAGGAGCAGAGACTAACTCTTTTTCCAGATCGTTTTTATAAATCATCATACCGCCAGGTTTCATTTACGTGGAAGTCCCTTTTCTTTTTCCCCAGTGATTGATTGAAAAACTAAGACCTTAACAGCTAAAACCTGTTAGGAAAATAATTAATACCTTGTTAAACTAGCGATGTTCATTTATTTTGATGAAAAACAACCAATTGTCAGCATGCCAATTTATGCTTACGTATAGTGTGATTGCCTGGCTTGATATTATTTTGTAATTCACATATTTTCTGCTTATACCGCTGATTATTTTTTTTAAAGAAACACCGAGTTGTTGATAAGACTGCAATGGGAAATCTTTCCTCCCACTCGGCAATTTTTGTGAAAGTCCGAATATGATATTCTAAAAATAGTTTTAAAATGCATACTTGCATCTATTCTCGCTTGTGGGGGGTATTTGCTTGCAAAATGGGCTGGATGTAGCGCTGGATGTAGCTAACATGCCGCAAAATGCAAATTTCTGATGGCCTCGGAAGTTGGGTTTAATTTTTTTAAAAAATCTGCAGAAAGACCCACAGTTGCTAAACATATTACCCCTTCTCGTACGAAAAACTTTTTAAGCATCTGGTTTAAGGAAGCTGGAATAATCATGTTTCTGCTAATTATAGTAATTTGAATGGGACTCCTGTTTACATAATCTTACATAACTGAGCTAGCATCCAACGAAAGGCACTTAAAATAGACAGCTACATAGATGCGCCATCACCAGGGGAAGGACCCCTGAATTCACAACGCGCCGGAAGTTTAAGGTATCGGCGGCAGATGAGTTCTCCTAAGCTTTTAAGGATAATAGAAAATTTGAAAACTTCCAGGGATTGATACAGTTGAATGTGAGTTCCGGAATTCTGTTTATTTTTATTTTTCTCTCCTATATGGTTTTCCCAGGCAGTTTAGTACCCAGGAACGCAGAGAAGATAGCTCTGCTGAACGCAGACTGCTCCCGCTTAGACATTGGCCATTGCAATATGACTCTTTTTGTTAGTTAACATATCAGTACTGCACAAATCCGGACGACCGGTAGATGGCAGCAAAGAAAGTTTCTTGTATCTCTGCCATCTTCTGCAGGTCGTGTGGATTCTTGCAACTCAGACATGTTAACTTTATTTTTTTGAGCTTTGATGGAAGAGAAGATGTAGATACAGAAAATGTACCAGTTCTTTAAGTTGATTGGTTGGCAACCTTTTGCTTATTTTACTTTTTCACCATGGTTTTCCCCAAACAAAGTGAATAACTGGATTATTAAAATAAACGGATCATATGTGTCTTGTTCCCAACAGCTGTATTATAATGGCCTCTTTAAGGGTGCCTGTCATTGATGTCCAGGAAGACAATTTCAAGGAGCTCTGGCCATCCATGCTTTTGGCTATCAAAACTTCTAGCTTTATTGCTGTTGACACAGTAAGTAAAATTGTTCTTTATTGGTTTTAACTTTGGAACAAGAGAAAAGGGAAATTGCATCAGACTCCTGAGAGTAAGGTAAAAATTATCCCTAATTATTTTATGTAGTTGCATCTTCTACTGAAGACTGAAAATGTTATCTTTACCCATAGGAACTTAGTGGCCTTGGAACAAGGAAGAGTTTGCTGAATCAGTAAGTACTGTACCATTCTTTTTCTTCTGAAGTACTATGGTCAAGGTGATACCAAATTCTGAACGATCAATTTCTTAATGTTGGGCCAAATATTTTATTCACAATACTTACCGAATATACTTCTGACAGATTTTTAGATAGAAGCATTCAGTAGCTATAGGATGGAATTAATGAATTAAGATTTGATAATTTAAGCAATTGGCCCTTCTGAAAACATAGACTATGCTAGCTATAGGCATCACTACATGGGTCTAATAGTCTTGGAATTGGGGAGGATCTTTGTCTTGTTTAAAGTTGGGGGATGTATTCAGGTTAATGACAAGATTCTGTCATCAGGTCAGAAATCATATCGAGTATTGGCAGTTGCTTTATAATGATCAAATTATTGGTCCATCTAGCCCAATGTAGACAATACTAATGCTATTTTCAGGGATTTTCAGGCACTCTACAGATTAAATTCTCTGTCTTTGCTTCTTATTCAATTGCCTAATGTTTCTCACAGGTGTATTGAAGAACGATATAAAGCAGTTTGCAATGCTGCTAAAACACGCTCTGTTTTGTCTCTTGGAGTTGCTTGTTTTAAACACCTTCCTGACAAGGTATGGTGCTCGTTTTGTGTCTAGACTTCTGTTGATATTTCTGTGAGGACAAGATAATCCTACCTCTGATGGAGAATAAATATTGAAGGCAAACCTTAGAAATTTAAATATGATGCCTGGTGTCATTAGCATTAGTTTATAAAACGTTTGCATTTTTGGGGTATTATTGTATTCACATAAAAGAGAGAGAACCCAAATTTAAGTCAATTATCCTAAAAAGAAATAGTAGACAGAAACATAGAAACCTAACAAATATCTTATTTTGTGTTCAGCTTCCTCAGTTAAGATTGCTTACTGTAGCTGAAATCAGTGCTGGAGATTCTCTCTGCACAAATATGTATGTCATATAAATGTATACAAATGTACGTATGAGACAGAGCATACTCCCAATGCAATAGTAATTCTGGTCCTCCGTTTCATTGGATTGGCTTTTATTTTGCAGATAGAGAACACATATCTTTCCCAGATCTACAACTTGACCTTGCTGTGTATGGATGATTATATAATTGAACCACAGTCAGTGCAATTCCTGGTGCAACATGGCTTTGACTTCAACAAGCAATATTCTCAAGGCATTCCCTATCATAGGGGCAATGATAAGGTATAAGGATTCCTTAATTTAAGGACTAAATCTGATGGAAATATAAGAAAGAAACTGGGAAATGGGTCTGGACTTCTTACCTAGTAGATTTCACAGAATATTTTGTTCCATAACTTGGTGAAAGTTTATTCGCAACATCAGGTTTAGAAACCAACTCAGGTCCAAGCTTTTTGATGAAAAGGTCTCATATGATAATAGATGCTAATAGATGATAATCTTTTTTGTGAGATTGATAAGGCCATATTTAGAGGATGTAGTTGTGGTTCAATGAATGGTTTAGTTGGTAACTAACAAATGGTAAGCATTGCCTATGCAATACTTTATATTAGATTGTATTTTCTTTTGATAATAGGTCTAGAAGAGATAACTTCTGGCATCTGTCTATCCAAATCTAAAGGACTCAGAAGAGGACTTTCCATAATGGGATGCCTAAATAAGATTGTTTCTGTTTTATTTACTCACAGGAAAATGAAAATCGGAGTCAGACAATTCGTACTTTTTTCCTGGAAATAATTCGAGCAAGAAAACCTATCATTCTGCACAATGGCCTAATTGATTTAGTTTTCCTCTACCAATGCTTCTATGCCCACTTACCTGACAATCTGGGCACTTTCACTGCTGATCTTTCAGAGATGTTCCCAGCCGGCATTTATGACACGAAATATGCCTCAGAATTTGAGGCACGTTTTGTAGCTTCTTATCTAGAGTATGCCTATAAGAAATGGTATGTATCATTCATTTAACAAATAAATGCTGTAAACATCCTAACAGATGTTGGAGTTGCATTGCTCCTCTCCTGTTTTTTGTTTACATATAAAAAGCTTCTGATATCCATATGACCAAGTAATCTGAAGGTTAAGAAGATAATTATCCTTATTCTGATTGGTCAGTCTTCAAGCAGCTTACAGATCATTCCATTTATGTATATGTTCTATTTAAATATTTATGCAAATATTTAAATTGAATGTAATCCTTTTAACTCTTCAAGAACTGTTTTTCTTCTTTTGTGAAAATATGGGAGGGAAAACATTAGATTTTTGGTTGATTAGCCATTAATTATGATTACCACTGGCTTTATTACTCTTCTGAACTGAAATTTAAAATCTTTTTTCACTCTCTGCTCTGGTGATTCTACTGATTCAGAATAACACTAAAATATGGCAGGAATTGCAGATCTATCTGCTTTCTGTGTTTTCCATGTGTCCTAGAAAACATGAGAGAAGGAGACGGGAATAATTGTGCTTAGCATGGTACAATGAAATAGGAATGATAAGAACTTTTTCTTTTGGTTGACTAACTAAAGGCAAGGGTCATTAGGAAAAATGCTAGTGAGAATTAGCTGGCAATAGCATTTGTAAAACTACCGGTAGTGCAGTTCTGTACTTCTGTATTCTTCTGTACAATAGCCCTTCTGTATTTATTTTCATCTCAGTGGCAATTCTGTATTTGTTTTGAATTGATTTTTTTCTCCACCATACCTCTTTTTCTCAATTCTCTTAACTTTTTGTATGATTGTGTAAAAGAAAAGTGAATCCTGAAAAATTACCAATTATCCCCATACATTTGCTATTATTATACTGCTCTTGAATTTCAGCAAACGAGAAAACTTCAGGTTGAAAGACTCCAAGAAACCATATCTCAGCATAGAATTCTGCAGCTATCCTGCCAGCATAGATGCCTATGTTGAATACCGGTTTTGCTCTGTGGCTGATGTCAGCCAGGCTCAAACTGACATTGCTAACAAAATTGTCATCTGCCAGCCATTTTCGGTTAAGTATTATTTATTGGGTGTTTCAGCTACATTTTAGGATCTTAAATATTATCTATAAAACCAAATTGGAAATAACAGTTTTAGTGCCTCAAATGTTAGATGCAGACTATGAGGACAAGCTATCCCAGATAAAAGAAGTCTATCTTGTTAGATCAGCAATCTAACTTTCCAGTGTTATTTTGGCCATTAAAATATGTTACAAGGAAGCCAGATTTCTTTTAATTAAATAGGTTATTTTTTTTTTAAAAAAAGAACAAAACTGGAGTTTTTGCTTCATTCAGGAAAGAGCTACCTTGGGATCCAAGTGAGGACATTTAGCATCAGTGATCATAGTACTGCTGTCTAGGAAAGGTTGACTGGATTCCAATCATTGCAAAATTCTCAGAATTTTTTTAAATCTATCCTAATAGTTCTCATTCTCCTTCACAGGCTTATGGCTGGTGCCCAGATGGGTTGAAATGTACACAATCTCACAATATTGATCTAATAATTAATGAGGATGAGAATCAGAAAGAAGCGAAGCGGAAGACAAGAAAACAGAAATGGAAACGGCGGAAGAACTTAGCAGAGTCGACAAAAGTTGAACTGAGCAGCCCCATGAATGATGTAAAGTTGGCTTGGGATAAGGAAAAAGGTTCCCCTTCCAAACAGTCTTGCCCTAGTAACGTGATTGCTCCTATTATAGATAGTGCAGATGCAGAAAGAGTGTCTGGTAATGGGGACACTTCAATGGATGTGGAACAAGAACTAGTTTCTGATAGTGCAGTTGATACCAGTGTTGATGGGAATGCTGCCATTGCCACAGACAATGAGAATATCATTTCTTCACCATTCAAAGACTTCCAGCAGGAAAAGGCAATGGAAAGGGAAGGAGCAGAGCCAAAAGCCCAGTTACAGAGTGATTCTGCAGTGACCTCTTTGCCTGTCACAGATAACGTAGCACCATCTAATTGTTCACGAGGGAGTATTCACCGGGCTGGGTTTGATGCCTTCATGACAGGCTACATAATAGCATACATCCAGATGCTCAAGAAAGATAAACAGAGTGACTCAAATGATGGGCCTTGGTTACCAGACTGCCACAACAAATTGTACCTTAGTGGAAAGTCTGTGCCTCTTCAGATTGTGAAAAGTTTGTTTTCTAAATCTTCTAAAGCCCACAACCAAAAGATGAAATTGGTATGGGACAGTAGTTAGAAATAAATACCATACTGCTCAGGATCACAGATAATGCTACTACTATCGTTTTCTTGAAGCCACAATACTCAAACCAGAGCTGCTAGAGACATTAATGAGACATGATAGAATATGTGCAGCAGCCTGAATGGATTATGGATTTATTTTTAAATGTTTGTAAAAATTATGTACGTATTAAATTTTCCCTTTGGGAATAGAACCTTTACACTGTAGATGAAGCACTTTTTTTTCCCAAATGCTTAAAAAAAGCACTTTCTTTTACAAGGCTGGTGCACAACTTTGTGTGTTCATGCTCACACAATGCCTCTTGGGGAATGGCAATGCATTTATGAGAAGACAGCTGGCATTAGTTTTCAAGCAGCCTTGTAAACTTTCCCAAAAAATCATATGCCTTAACCATTCAGAGAAATGCTTTATTTTTAACCAAGGGAACTGCGGAAAAGCTTTTTTACATGGATTACCTTGCACCATCATCTTAATGTTCATAAGGTCAGGTAGTTGGCTCTATTCCTTGTTCTCGAATGTCCATGTCTTCAGCAGATGTTGTGGAATCATTACAGCTCTCCATGCAGTGGATGTGGAATAAATGATGCATTAAAGTACTATCCACACATTATTTAAAAATCTGCACTGAAAGCTCCCCACCACTACCTATTTGAATCATATTCTTTACTGACAAGAATGAGGTAGTTTTCTTTTCAACATATCTGAGTTTGTCTAAAAGATATGGAATGTATACCTGAAATTTCTAATCAAACTTTCTGAAATTTTGTGGGACTTTTGTTTTAGACAATGAGAATGCAAACATTGGGTACCAAATATAAATTCATCTATTTTTATAGCAGCCCAAAAGGGAGATTGCAGCCATCTAAATCTACTACAAAGCTCTCAAGGCTTCAGAAATCTTCCTGAATCAGGCCTACCATAACATAAGGGTGATAACTGATTTTCTTGTACTAGAGTTTGTCGTTAGCAAACAGTTGGTTGTCTCTCCTCTTTCTGGATATCCTTTTAGAATCATGCCCTCTAGATTGTCCTTAAATGTGATTTATATTATACCGCTTGTTTTTAGTTATTTTAAATCCTTAAGATGGCGTAACAAAAAGTTAAGGAAAAGATAAGGAATTAAAGCCAAATTGTTTGATTTTTTTTTTCACGGTTCTATTGCAGTCTTATTTTCCTAATCCAAATTAAGCTACTTAACTGTTGAGAAAAAACATTACTGCAAGATGGAGTTACAAATCAACATCTGGAAGGCCATAGACCTCCAGCCCCATTCTAGTATAATAATTCAAAGAGATATCTTATTATTCTCTGCCATCATCAATCTTTATTGAAATAAAACATTGGCATTTCCCTTATTAAATAATGTTTAGTTTTTTGTATCAAAATATTTGACAGACTGGAGGCTTTTTATCTGTTAATTTATTGTTGCAAGCCTTTTTGCAATACAGATCATCAGTTATGTATTCCAGTTGCACACAACAAAACAGTAATGAGATCTCTTGGAAGCTAAAAAATGATGTTTTTATTAATCTTATCTATTCCAGATACATTGCTTGGAAAGCATTATTTGATAACTTTAGTGGGGTCAATAATGTTCAACTTTTTAAAAATTGTTGCTGGGGAGAGCAATGAAGTAGCTAAAGCTTGTCATTAATACCAAGTTAGGGAAAAGAAAGCTCAAGCTAACTGGATAGCTCTAGCCAGATGTTATCAATGTGGGAATGGACAGCAAAATGACAAAATTTGAAATCAATGTAAAGTGATGCAGCAATAGCACACACATTTTATACAAATGTTAATACTTACATATTTTATTATAGGAAAAACTTTAAAAGGAATTGAATAAAATGATAATTTTGTATTCATCTGTATTGCAAACATATTTGATATTTGAAGGATAACTGTTAAATGTGAAATCGAAAGATAAAGCAACCAAAACAATCAAGAACTGTTTTTGGTATAAGGAAAATGAAAGCATTTAGATATTTTCACTTTTATTTCCTTTAAGGAGGTATAGAAACGGGGTAATAGGTTAAAAGTGGTGAGTAGGTTGTATTGTACACTGCTCAGAGTCCCTCTGTGAAGGAGATGGGCAGTTAAGTATGATAAATAACTTAGAGTAAGGAGAAATTTTTGCTCAAAATAGAGCCTTGAATCATTTAGTGAAAGTTGACTGGTAATTCTGCCCTTGACAAATGCAAGAAACTTGAAAACTTCAAGATGGATACATAGATTACTTGGAAAGTAGAAATAACCAAATTAATAGAGCATTGATCTGTATTGTAAAGAAATTCACAAATGCAAATGCCTCAACAGGACAATTGTCCCATGTTTTGTTACTTGTTTATATGAAAGCATTTAACTTACCAACATGACAACATGACATTAGCTTCAGTTAACTAGCTTTTTAATATAAGATAACTGCAGCTTACACACAATGAAATGTGATGTGTCTTGTCTGGAAACAATTAAATGTTCAGATAATCTACCACCACCATTAATTGCTAGTGAATACACAATTGGAAATCTGAAACAAGGGAAAGCACAATAAGGAATTCTTTCTGGAATGAGACAAGCTCTTCTGGAATCTGACTATCAGAAAAAAAGTTATCACTTTTACAACAAAATACTGGAATGTATGAATATTAAGTCAGAATGAATGTTTCCCATTTTATATTGCTCCTTTGTGTCATCAATTTTGTTTTCTCAACCACATATTTGATTTTCTTCTGACAGTGAACGGGGGAATGATTTACAAAAACTGATAAAGAAAACTTGCAGATATTTTAAACTACATTTATCTTTGGTTACTTTTTTCAGTTCCAGTGAAACATACTGTTTATGTAATTCTAAGGTAGAAGAAAATCAAACATGAATCAACACATACAAATCAAGATTTGTTTTCTTTAAACATTCATAAATATCTGAAGTATTAGAAAAACGCTTTTTCAAAATCCTTTTCCTGGCAGTGTTAAATTATACACACTATAAATTTTATTCCTAGGCTTTAATGACAAAATTTAGCTATTTACAGACAGCAAATATTAAGACATAAAATTCCTTCATAAATATGAAAATAGATCTTATAAAGATCTATAAACCTTAAGTCAAATATTTGGCTACCTCAAAGGTTATTTTTGCATAGAAATGTAGTGACATGCAGTATAAACAGCAGCATTAAGTGCAAAGAGGAATTCAAGTGTCTAGTTAAACTGGCAAGAAATACCAGTGTTCTTGGACAAGATGCAGCAACCAAGAATCCATCGTACACTTTTTTTCTACTCAGGTATCAATTTGTTACATACATGTATTCACAGTCTTTCATCAGTTGGCCACATGAATATCCTCTAATATGCTTATTAAATGTAATTTAGACAAAATTAATGAATTAAAAATAGACTGAGGATCTTAGAAGTGTTTTCAGGTGGCTTATCAAAAGCAATAGGCATCTTAGCAAATCAAACATGCTGAAAAGCAAAACTATCTAGTATCATTGTGTTTGTACAAATTATGCATTCATTTGGCCACATTCTGTATAAAGTACAGATGATGGCCCATACCTGCTCTGCAATGCTGGCTTTCCATAGGATGTGATAATAACAGTGTGTACATATCGTATAAGAGGACAGGTTACCTTTATGTTTAACCATCCAATAATAAGTTATTGCTTTCTCAAGCTCCTATGAAGCCAACTTTTATCAAATTGCAGTCTAGAAAGACTTACTTTTGCGTCAAGGACCTAGGTTATCATTAACACTATTTAGAAGGCAGAGCAACCGCAGTAGGATTCCATCATCCCACTTACAAGAGAAGGTACCACTTCTTAGAGTCTGTAAAAAACCAGGAAAATACACAAGGAGGGGGGAGGGGATGTGACCAGAACAGAAGTAATTTGTCACATCTAGCTTTCACAAGCAGTAAAAGTGAGAGGCTACTAGAGCAGAGCAAGTTATAAACTAATGCAGGCAAAGAAATGGAATACTTTCTGGAAGTGAAATGGCCTCTGAGATACATTGCATGCTTGGTGGTTTCCAGAGCTGAGCATAAGTTACATTCATCAATTATTTTGCTTTGGATGGGGTGGAAGAAAATGCTACCAAATTCAAAATCGCACCACCTGTTTAAGTGGTTATATTTTTTAACTGTTTAAATAAAACAGGCTGATAATAACTACTGGGATTCTTTATCCCTAATCCTGAAAAAGGAAACAACTAAACTGTAATGTGGTGCTACTTTAGAAATTTTCAAATGAATAATTGAGAAGACAATAATTTTGTTCTCCAGCTACTGGAAGGAACTTGAGGCTGTCATGAATGTCTATAAATAAACATAGCTTGCAAACCTGGTCTGTTCAATATTTGTGACTCTGCTTTTGCTGCTTCATATTTTGTGAGGATTTGCCCTTTCTACAGTTTAGTTATGAGGAATGAATATGAGGAAATTATGTTCACCAGGACTAATTTCAAGTGTATTCTAACTAGCGGCAAGATTTGGGAGTTTAATCCTTTTTATATAATTTGTATTAATTCCTATTAAGTTCTGAGCATCTGGTCTGGATGTGCAAAGAGACTTTAGTATAGAGATGCTATTTCTATAGCTTCACTTTAAAATTCACTTGCCATTTGAGAAATTTCAAACAACCTATCTACAGAATTTATATAAATTGCACATATAGACTATGTTTCTGTGTGAGTGAAGCACATAGACTAATTGAAGACATGCATGCAAAACTGGATTTTTAAAATATGTTGAAGAGAGTTCTTCCATGCCAAACATTTGATGGTGATATATTTCATGCTTCTATAATAAAGGGAATGAGGTTACCAAAGAGATGAAAATATTCATCTCATTTTGTTTCATGAACAATTTATTCAGAAACGGAACTCTGCTGTTCCTTCAGTAAAACAGCTGATGGAAAATTTCCTTTCCAGCAAATAAAAACTGGAAAGCAACTAATAATTTAACAAAGAATGCATGAAGTAGGAATATGCTCAATGCCTCCACTGTTTGCAACTGGACTGGAAAAGGTAAGGGAGCTATTGTAGCCAAAACTCATCCTATTTAATAAATTTTAGAGAATTCAGAGCCATATTCTTCCTGTTCATTTAAAGAAAGGGTGGGGAAATATCATGTGCAAAACATTCTATTTTGGAACATTTTGATCCAAAATAGGATACTCTGGAAATGAACCAATCCAAA